CGCTGTGCGTCAGCAAGCGCGGATCCAGGAGGGGAGGGGGGGGGTCAACTTCCCCCTCCCCCTTTTGTGACCCCAGACAGCCACCTGGAAGTGGGCGAAAAGCAACACTTTTCCCAAAAGGGGCTATTGTTGCCGGCTCTGGATCCGCCCCGGCGCGCCGCAGACTGATTCCGAGCGTCGCCTTCGTCGCCCTGTCTCTCTCGCACCGTCAGGGACGCGCCTTGAGTGCGAGAGAGACAGGGCGACGAAGACGAGGCCGGGAATCTGGCGGCGGCAGAGGCACTCCGTGTCGCCGACCGGATGCTCGCCAGCGACCCCGGCGACGTGGACGTGACGGGGGTCTCCAGGGCGGGCAGGTGCTTCCGAGCCGGGGGAGAGAGAGAGAGAGAGAGAGAGAGAGAGAGAGAGAGAGAGAGAGAGAGAGAGAGAGAGAGAGAGAGAGCGAGCTGTTTCACTGAAGAGGCGGGGCGCGCGGCTCAAGGTTGAAGTCTTCCCCCACACTGTGGGTCGACACTGTCCGCGGGGCAAGATTTATCTGCCTCCGCCGTGACGCTGTCGAAGGGGCCGTCGAGACTCTCCCAAAATGTTTCTATCGGCGCGACGCGCGGGGGCAGTGAGCCAGCACTTTTGCCCGGGCAATATTCCCGTGGGGCGAGCCGCGCGTGTCCGGGGAAAGACGGCGACGATTTTCATTAAATTATACGCCAAACTGATTTATAACTGATGCGAGGAGCGAAACGCGTTTCTGTTATGGCTTTCAAAGCAGACGGCAGCAGCGGCCGGACGGACTGTGGACCGGTTCCGAGAGCCGTCGCTCTGTCTCTGTCACACCTACACGGGCCGCCCCATGAGTGCGAGAGAGACAGAGCGACGAAAACAACTCTCGGAATCAGTCTGCGGACCCCGTCGCTCGCTTTGAAACAAAATGAACGCCCCGTGCCGCGTCGTCGGTGCCGCCACTGCTATTTTCGTCCATCTTTTGAAACTTTCGGTCAAGCGGCAAGCAGCACTGCACTCGTGTTTCGCCCCCGGTCGCTCCGAGACTCTTTTTAACGAGTTCTCCAACGAACGGGTCGACTCATCGAATCTTTTTTTTCTTCTTCCCTCTCCAACATCATCCAATATAACGTGCCCCATGTTTACCCTTTTCTTCCCCCGTTTTTTTCTCCTCCGCCGCTGGGCCGAGATTCGCCCTCCTCGCGGCTGCGGGAACGCGCGCGTAATATTGTTATTATTTAAAAAGGCTACAAAGTTTACCCTTATCTCCTCGCCGGCACAGATTCCACCTCGCCGGAAGAAGAATCCAGCAACAACAACAACAGCAGCAAAGTCATTTAAAGCCGCGAGTGGCTACACTGGGCTGCACAAGCACGCAAGGCACGCACAGTGGGCCAGAAGACCTGCGGAGGCGGACAAAACTCTGGACGCGTTTTGAGCTCCAGAGTCGCTAAGCAGGGCTCGAACCGAACGTGTGACCCCACCAATGGATTCCTCGTTCGGAGAGCGTTCCATTGGGGGGTCACACGCTCGGTTTGAGTCCCATTTAGCGACTCTGGAGCTCAAAACGCGTCTGGAGTTTTGTCCGCCTCCTCCGGTCTTCTGGCCTACTGTGGCGCGGCCAAGGCGTAGGCGATGCTCCAGCATTGCCGCCCTCCCGTGTTCCGTCCCCCAAAGCGTCCCGACCTGTCCGGAGAAAAAAGGCGGAACTGGCGCGGAGGCGCTGCGCCGTTGGGGCCCTCTTCCCCTGACTTGTTGTTGTTGTTGCTGCTGGCGCCGCTGCCGTTGTTGTTGTTGCTGTATCTACGCTGCGCAATGAATAAGTAACCTGCCGGCAAAGTGGCGCACTGCGGAAGGAACCTGTTCCCAGCCACGCGCTTTCGGCGGGGCCCGAAATAAAAGAGGCAAAATCGGAGGGGTGAGAGAGAGAGAGAGAGAGAGAGAGAGAGAGAGAGAGAGAGAGAGAGAGAGAGAGAGAGAGAGAGAGAGAGAGAGAGAGAGAGAGAGAGAGAGAGCAAAAAGTGCGGCGAGGAATGGCACCCGAAACGAACGACGTGCAGCGGCCCGGCCAGGCCCGGCCGGTCGAGGAGGGAAAACTAAACGATCTCCGGGGCGAGACGGCGCGTGGGAACGCGGCCGCGGCTCGCGACAGGCTTGCCCCCGGGCTCCCTCCGAGAGTCGCTCTGTCTCTCTCGCACTCATGGGGCGTGCCGCGATTGGTGCGAGAGAGACAGAGCGACGGCTCTCGGAAGCGGCCTGCTGTTTTTGCAGTGCGCCAATTAAGCCGTTGCGGTTGCCGCCCCCTGGACAAATGGGACGCCAGCCTCGGTTCGTCGCGCTGTCTCTCTCGCACCCCCGCGGGACGCCCCGCGAGTGCGAGAGAGACAGAGCGACGAAAGCGGAATCAGTCTGCAAGCTCCGGCCGCCCCGGCCCGGTCCACGCATGGAAATCCAAACCGATGCCCGCCGGGCCGCGACGCGCTGTCCCTGCCGGAATGGCGCTCGGGGGAATGATTCTGTCGACGGCCTCCCCGGGACTCCACATCGGCGACCTGGACGGACGGGTGGCGGTCGTCCGCGCCGCAGCGCGCCACCTGGCGGTGCTGCCGCCAAGGGTGCGGGACCGCCGCGACGTCGGGGGTCGCGGCCCGGCGTCGCTACGCCGCGCCGCCGCCAGAGGCCGCCAGCGCTCTCGCAGGCCGGCAGGGGACCCGGAGCGCGGGGTATAGACACAGCCAGACTCATTCCGAGAGTCGTCGCTCTGTCTCTTTCGCACTCATGGGGCGTCCCGTGTGGGTGCGAGAGAGACAGGGCGACGACAACGACTCTCGGAATCAGTCTGCTGGCCGGCCCCGGACTGCTCTGCTTTTTGACCCCCAGCCGAGAAGTACGCACTGACACGCACAAGCCCGGGCCGAACCGCGTGCACGAGAACGAACGTCAGCAGCCGGCGGCGGCGGCGGCGAGGCTGAAGCGCCTGTGAAGTCGAGGGTAGGCAACCCAACGCACCGCAGCGCACCGGGCGGCCTGCCTCGCCGGGCGTTTCGAAGCGGTGGCAGTGGCCGGCCACAGGGTGTCGCGGCACGCGCGAGGCTCGGACAAAGCCCGTCCCGGAAGACACGAAGGGCAGGCGCGCGAAGGTCAACGAACGCGAGGGCGAGGCCTTCGCCTAGGCCTCCTGCTGGTCAAGTATTTACGAGTGACTGCTCCTTTCTCAGGCAGCGCGGGGCGAGAGGCCTTGGGCGATGCCTTGGGCGGGGCGCGCGGAGCCACTCCAGCTCCACGACTGCTGCTACTTAATCCCTTCATAATTAACCGAAGAGGCGCCCCTTGCCCCTTTCGCGAGCCCCAAGCCCTTTTCCTCTTTCCCACTCAAATCTGATTCGATTACCACAGAACCGCACCCACTGAAAAACCAAACGTGGTCTAGACCGCACCAACTGGTGTGGTCAAATGGATGCCATTTTGACCACACCTGTTGGTGTGGTCTAGACCACGTTTGGTGCGTTTGGTGGTCTAGACCGCACCAAACGTGGCCAAACGTGGTCTAGACCGCACCATACGTGGCCAAACGTGGTCTAGACCACACCAACTGATGTGGTCAAAATGGCATCCATCTGACCACACCAGTGGTGCGGTCTGGACCACGTTTGGTTTTTCAGTGCCGCCACCAAAAAAAGGCAGGGAGAGAGGGTAAACGCCGCCGCCGCCGCCGCCGGCGATTTAAAAGAGAGAAATGGAAAAAAAGTGGAGGACAAAGTAGTATAGTCCGATTACCATGTATTTGGTGGGAGTCGGGCCGGAGTTGGTATGGCACTGCAGCCCGCTTCGCTTAGCATATCGCGGGCCGCGTGGCGGCGTGGCGGCGGGTCAGTGCCGCCTAAATGGAACGCCCCGTGAGTGCGAGAGAGACAGAGCGACGAAAGCGACACTCGGAATCAGTCTGCTGGCCGCGCTCCGTTCACCGAAAGGAAAGGAAAAACGATCCCCGTAGATAACTCGAACTCGACACGAGCGCCCTTGAAGTGGCCACTGACCTCTCAGGGGTCGCCCGGTCGGGGCTCGGCTCCGCTTGAAGGCGTGGCGCGGCGTGGCGCGGCGTGGCGCGGCGTGGGCCTCCACTCGTCGACGTCAGCGGAAACTTCAGCAACGCATCGAAAACCTCTATCGACCTTTCGGGACGGCTGTCACTGTCGCACTGTCACCGTCGCCACGCTTACCGCGGCACGCTGGCCGCGGCGATCAGCAGGCGCTTACACCGCTAAAAAAAAGTTCAAAAATAAAACAAATAAAAGAATATTTTTCTGGTGTTTGTTTTGTTTTGTGAGGTGCTTTAGCTTATGATGCCCACTTCCTAGAACTAAAATGACCGAGATGGCGTCCAGAGCGGCCAGCACACTCGAGGAAATGCGCGGACCGCGCCAATAACCCTTTGCTGCTGTTTGCAAACCCCCTCCCCTTTTCCCTTGCGAGCCTCCTTCCTTCGAGGTTCGCGTGTTGTAATGTTATTGACTATGCCGACCTGTCCCCCCACCCCTCCCTCCTCCCCCGCTCCGCTTCCCTGGAGCGCAAGTGTCAACTGTGCCCTCCCCGGCACTGCAAGGCTTGCCCGGCCCGAGCCGACTGCAAGGTTGTGACCGTGGCCCGCCCGCGAGCACCGACTGCCTGCCTGCCTGTCTGCTACTCCGTAAGGTGGACTATCACGGCGGCTTGAAAGTTAGCAGATAAGCCGGGGCTGCTCTTTCCTGGCCGGATTTTTGCGAGGCCCGACGCGAGGCTAGGGGGCTAGGGGCGAGGCCCGACGCGAGGCTAGACGGGGGTCGCTGAGTTGTGTGTCGGGGGTGGCGCGGCAGACTGCCGTGGCATGCTTGGCATTTGCACCTCGGCAGGCCGAGCCGGCCGTAAGCGGTGACACCCGTAAAGGTTCCTCGTAAACCAAAACAGTCGCGGACTCGAACTGCAAGACGCGAGACACGCTACACCGTCTGTTTTTGTGTGCTCACCGACGGCGTCCTCGTCGTCCTCCCCGTCCGGCACCTCGCGGACCTCCCGCGGCTTCTTGACGGCCGGCAGGTCCTTGCCGTTCTCGTCCACGGCCACGCCCTCCTTGGCGCCGCACCGGTCGCACATCCGGCTCGTCCGGCTCGCCGCGCTGGCCGTGCCGGAACCGGCTCCGGTGCCCGGCCGCTTCTCGTCGGCACCGTCCTCGGCGGCCACGGGGGCCACGGCTGCGGTGCTCGAGTTGCAGCCCATCACGCGCACCTGAAAAGAAGAACACTGACATTCGCAAGGGGGAAAAGATAACCTAAAAAATTGTACAATTAAAATTAAAATTTCAAAAAAAAATCTAATTCAACGAACGTTAATGAGAGCAGATGATCCATCGTGTTTCACAACTGCTGTGATAGCCGAGAGGTTAGAGACGTGGGATCGAGTTACCGCAGGCCGGCGTTCGAATACCAGCGTCACAAAAGTTTTTTCGACTTGCTATCCTAAGGGTGGTGGTTCGAGGCCATGAGAGCGGAGCCGTGTGCAACAGGCCCACATGCCGGAGGTTCGACTCCTAAAAAATATTTCCATTTAATTTTACTGCCTCACCCAGTGCGGTTCAAACCCGTAAACGTGACCCCACTCCGAGCATGGGACGTGGTGGTCCAGGGAGTAGAGGCGTCGGTTCTCAGTGCTAGGGTCGGCGGTTCGACTCCCCCAACTTCTTGCGAAATTTTGACCGGGTCGGTCGAGTCCTGTTGCGTCAAGAACCCACCTCACGCCGATCCCCTCATCATGGGCCGTGGTGGCCGAGAGCGTAAAGTCGTGTGATCCCGATGGCGGGGTCCGGGGATCGAATCCCATCATTTCATTACATTTTTCGACCGCCTTCCTCCCAGTGCAACTCAAACCCGTCGTCCAACACGCTGCCAGACGTACAAGCGTGATAGCGTAGTGGTCAGAGTCACATTCACCTGGCCACTCCGCTGTGGGTGTCTAAAAAGCAATCCGCTTCGGCGGGTTGGCCTCGGCACTGGAGCGATGGAGTATTTGATCCATCAATCCAGACCATCCGGTGTGTGGTTGCGGGTGGTGCCTCCTTGACTCGTCGAGGAGGCGATGATAAGTCCTTTGAAGCTGGCCTAAAACGCTGTATGTTCGGTACGGGAGCGCCGGACAGTGGGGGTACCATGGGGTACACAACCAACCCTACGAAAACAAAAAGCTCCCACCAAACCTCTTCTCTGTCTGAGTCTCTCTCTGTCTCTCTGTCGTCTCACTCTACGTCCCGCCCCTCAAAGAGCTTCGTACTGGGTGCTCTCACCCTACTGCCTGAGCTTTGGGGTCCTACTGGGTCCCCCGGCGAACGCTTGGGTCGCTGACGGGATTAACCCCAGGTACCTGATAGCACCGGTTCCCATCCCGAACACCGAAGTAAAGCAGGAGGCCTCCCCATTAAGACTGGGGAGGGGGTGTAGAGTTCAAATTTTTTTCTTTTCCCTTTCAAATTTCTCAGTCAATACTCGTTCGGTTTCCTTATACGGGGTAGTATGCGGGCTCATTCCAAAGATAGTAATTAAAATTGTGTATGAAACAAAATATATAGACCCGAGCGAGGTGGCCGGTGTTGGTACTAGCCGTGCCGAGCTGTGGCCTGCACCGGCCGCCGCCGAGCCCGAGCTGGCCCGATGAGCCGCCCCTGCGTGAGGAACAGGTGGAGGGGCGAGGCGAGCGCGGCACGCGGCCCACGCGGGGGCGCCAAAGAGTGTTATTATTACTTATACAAACAGGTAGGGGGAGTCACTCGCCCCCGCACTGCCCCCGCCGGCCGCCCCCCGCCATATCCGGTTGTGCAGCAGCTAAAAATATTGCGTCCGGTATTCCAGCGGCGTAGAGCCGCATATGATACGCGCCGCCAGTGTGGAAGTCTGCCTGCAGACCGATTCCGAGAGTCGCTTTCGTCGCTCTGTCTCTCTCGCTCCGTGCCGGAATGCCCGTGAGTGCGAGAGAGACAGAGCGACGAAAGCGACTCTCGGAATCAGTGTGCCGGACGCACGGCCACGTGAGGGGCCTGCGGCCCGAAGAAAGACCGACAGTGTGGCGGTGGCGCGGCGGTCTCCACCAGTGGTGTAACTAACTACCACCCGGCCGAGACTCGAACAAAGCACTGACCGCGGACTGGGCAGGGCACGTGCGGCTTTCATAGTGCCGTGCCGTCGTGAGTTACCGCCCCGTCCGCGGGCTGCGTCCGAACGCTGTCCCGTCGGGGTGCGAGAGAGACAGCGCGGCGCCGTTTTCGCATCGCGGCCCGGATGAATGGGAAGCCAGGCTGCTTTCGGCCGGTGAGAGATTGCAGGCCGTCCGGACCTGCACTCAGCTTTATTAGTGTAGTGCATTCATTCCCTCCCAGTGGGGAGGCCTTCCCTGGCGAGACGACGGCCGGGGCGCCGCGTGTTCGTGCCGCGCCTTCACTTTTCAACAGTTGGGCCGCCCGTTTCCAGCGGACTGACTCCGAGAGTCGTCGCTCTGTCTCTCTCGCACTCATGGGGCGTCCCGTAAAGGTGCGAGAGAGACAGAGCGACGAAAACGACTCTCGGGATCAGTCTGCAGTGAGGCAACGCCAGTGCCGCGACGACGTCCACCGCCAACGCGCTACGCCACGCCACGCCACGCCTCGCCACTACTTCTCTTTATTTTGGCAGCACTCCTCAAAGGGGAATCGATTTGCAAGTGGCGCCGCCGCTCCCTGACGCCCCGCGGCCCGCGGCCCCGCCTTTGTGCGTGTTTGGACAGCGGAGTCGTTGTGTTTCTCTGCTTCTCTCTCCGTCGAACTCGCGGGGCGGCCCGTGCAAGAGAGCGCGACGGAGACAGGGCCACGGGACGCTCTTCGGAATCGCCGCCCGCCTCACCCACCAACGAAATCCTGGCCGCGCAAAAACAAACAGGAAAAACAAGCAAGCGAAACAACAACAAGAGTGCGTGTCTCCAGTGTCTCGGCACGCGTGCGGGACACGCACACGGCACGCCAGCTGCGATTCCGAGGGAGTACTCATCGCTCTGTCTCTCTCGCACCTATTCGGGACGCCCCTTGAGTGCTGCGAGAGAGACAGCGACGAATAAACGACCCTCGGAATCAGTCCTCGGGCCGACAGGTGCGGGTAGACCACAGAGGGGCCCCCGCCGCCCTCGCCCTTCAAGGCCGTCGAGGCCCCCGCCCTCCACAGCCGCCCGGCCCGTCTTCGCCGTGCTTCGCCTATCTCGGTCCCGGAGCGCCCAGAGCCGCCCGCGCCAGTCGATAGCTTCCTGCCGCCAACGAGGACGACGGCGACGGCCGGGCGGAGAGCGCCGGGGCAGATAGGCAACACGTTCACGGACCGCGCGCGCGGGTTGCCTATCCGTTGGTTTGCGGGCGTTCGGGCGGCTGGGCTGCGTGCCGTGCCGTGCGCCTCCCCCGCTACCCATCCCTTCTCTCTTGGTCCGGCTGCCTTTCGGGGAGGGCAGCCTCCCGGGTGTCGTCCCGCCCTGTCCACGGGGCGCGCGCGTGCGTTTAGCTCCTCGGCTCCGCGATCGAGTGCATCGGGGCGGTGGCGAAAGTGATCACGCGAATCAATACCCCCCGCAGCCGGCGCGGCAGCGGACTGATGCCGAGAGTCGGTTTCGTCGCCCCGTCTCTCTCGCACTCGTGGGGCCTGCCCTGTGGGTGCAAGCGAGACAGAGCGACGAACACAGCTGTCAGTCCGCAGCCGCGCGGTGCAGCCCGGCGACCCGCATCCCCGCCCTGCAGGCAGCCTGCCGGGCCTGCCAGGCCTGCATGCAGCGCAGGCGCCGGCGCCGCGAACTTCACCTTGAGGCGCTGCATCGGAAATCGGTCGCAACGACGCCCACTGCATCTCTCTCTCCCCTCTCTCTCCCTCTCTCCGTAAAGAAGTACAGAGGCGGGCAGACAGCCAACCACGGCCGGCGGTACAGTACGAAATCCGTGCTCGGCGCTTCTTTTCTATTTACATGAAACAGGCGGCGGTGGCGGCGCAGGCGGTGTGCTCGGGGTCCTTCCCTTCCCTTCCCTGCCGGAGCCCGGACGGGCCTCCATCTTCCATCACGCCGTCTCCATCCTCTGCACACCGATTCCGAGAGTCTCGCTCTGTCTCTCTCGCACCTACACGGGACGCACCATGAGTGCGAGAGAGACAGAGCGAGACTCTCGGAATCGGTCTGCTGCTCGATCCCCTCCCGGACGCACGGCTCCCCCAAAGGACGAGCAATCCATCATCCACTGAGCAGCGGGCCGACTCCAAGCGGAGCGTCCCGTCGCTCTGTCTCTCTCGCACCCGTACGGGTCGCGTCGTGAGTGCGAGAGAGACAGAGCGACCTCCCTCTCGGAATCAGTCTACAGGCAGGCGGCGGCGCCCCCGCGGCAGCGATTGAACCAGACGAATAAAAAAAGGAAAACAAAAACAGGCCGTCGCGCTGGTACTTGAACCCACGGTTCTCCCGAAGGACGTGAACCGCAGGGCTGCTTGCTTTGGCACTCACCGTAGCGATCTGGGGCTAGACAGCGAAGCACCGGCCGCCTGTTGACTGCACGGCACTGCGAGACAGCTAGCGGCCAAAGTCCAGCCGTGCGCTCAGGCACTGCATGGGGCCGTCATCCTGGCCAGAGGCGACGCACACACGCACACACACACACACACACTTGATCTGGATCGAGCCGCCCCTCCGTCCAGCAGCTCCTCGCCTACGACGGCGACGGTCTCGTCCGCGTCCGCGGGGACCGCATCACGCCGCGGGCGCCACAGTCCGGGGAGTCCAAAGGAGTGCGGTGGCCGTCGTCGCCGAGGTGCACGCCGCGTCCCCGAGGCCGCGGGTCCGCCCGCGCGTCCCTGCCGTATTCAAATGCAGCCCGTCCCCGCTGCGGTGTAGTGTATGGCGGGGCCGGGGCCGCGAGCTTCCGTGAGGCGGTCCGATCCCCCAGTGTGTCGCCGCGTTGTCGCCGCGGACTCGCCTCTCGCGGACGGACCGCACCGCACCGGCAGGGCCTCGGCCAGGGCGCAGCGCAGCCTGGCAGCCCTTCGTGCTTCGACCTCCGCGCGCCCACGTGGACTAAGGGCGCAAAACGAACCGAAAGCGGCGAGGCGAGGCGGGCGGCGCCCTCACCCGAACCTGCCGCCGCGCCGCGCCCTCCCAGGCCTTCCACCCCCAGTGGCGGCGCCCTCGCCGCCTCGCCGTCACCGAGGGCACGGCCGTGCACGGGGGCGGGGACCTGCGGGCACCGCGACGCGACAAGGGACGCCTTGAGGGAGGGCAGGACCCGAGGGCGTCGCCGTCGCACTGCGTGCGTTACGCCATGCCGTGTGCAGCAGACTGACTGATTCCGAGAGTCCTTCTCGTTGCTCTATCTCGCTCGCACCCCCCAGACGCTCACAGAGACGTCAATTTGATGTCAATAAGACATATTTTAGTCAAAATTTCGTTAAAAAAAAAAGCATTATGTTGACGTCCTTTGACTTGCTTTGTGAGTGTTTCGTGTTCTTTGGGTCCCTACGGAACGCACCGTGAGTGCGAGAGAGACAAAGACGAGAACGGGCACGCGCCAACTAGAGCCCCTCATTGTGCGGGTTCCCGGACTCGAACCAGAAAAGTGGAGGTATAGTGTGGGTAGGAAGCGCTAGGCTATTTCATTTTCAATTTCAACTTGTATTTTCGGTTGGCTTGTTACATTCCAGACCCCTTGTTTTCACCCTTTTAAAAATCCAAAAACACGTGGACAGCTTCTTCAAAATTTGCTCTGAGATCTATTATGTCATGGGAGAGGAAAAGGAAATAATCTGACAAATACCGAAAAGATGTTTATTAAATAATCTGACGTCGTACAAAACTTAAAAGAATAATAATGAATTCTCAAAATGGAAAGGGAATGTTGTAATCGAACCTTTAAAGACAAGAAAAACTCATCAAAACTAAAATTATCTTAGAGATTTCAGGAAAAAAAGAAAATTACTGAACAAGATGAACTATTAGGTCTTAAGAATGTTCCTACAGACTTTCTTGTGAGTGATGTTGGGTCGCTTGAGTTGCTTCTTCATTTGCATTAACGTCACTAGAATTGTCTCCTGAAGCACCTTCTGTTTTGTCGTTGTCTTTGGCGGGAGACCTTTGGATGTTGTTCCTTGGCTAGACTCTTTCACCTGGATAAATAATTTAAAAAAATAATCACAGTTTTGCTCTACACTTGGCCAGGCATAGGCTACTTCATTTTTCACTTTGAAACAAACCTTTTTGGCTTTCGCAGCAGCTATTCCTTTAAGCATTGTATCATACGCTTGGTTTGCAATGAGTTTTTCACGCTCTGACACTGTTATCTTTTTCTCTATTTTATCAGTCATCTTGATTGTCTTGTCCAATTCCGCACGTATCTTGGCAGTCTCTCTCTCATGCGATTCAATTTCAGAATCCAAACATTCCATGGCCTCAAGTTTTGAATCACACTCTTTTTTATTTTTGTCACATTTCATCTTCAGGTCATTAATCTCCTGGGTCAGCAAATTTGTTGAACTAAATAGAGATTCACATGTTTGTTTGTTCTTCAAGATGTTGTGCATTGTTTCCTGGAATCAATGTTACATTTGAAAATCTGCACAATCGATGGGAGTTTCTAGAGAATGTGTCAATAAAAGTTTAAAAAAAAGTTAAGGAAGGGAAACTTACTTTCATTTCATCACAATTTTGGACTGCTGCTTCAGCTTTTTCCTTCTCCAATTTGTCAATTTCCTGTTGAAGTTCTGACATTATAACTTTTTTGGATTGCAAAATTTCCTCTTCATCATGAAGATTAGAAGCCATTTCCGCCTGCTTGGTCATCAGAAGTTGGTAGTTCTCTTCTGTCACTTTGCACTTCTCCATCAACTCATCAACAGAATATTTCATGGATTCAATTTCTTGCTGAACCTTCTTCTCAGCATTTTGAAGAGACTCAATCTCTTGAGTAATTGTATTGCAGGATTTAACTGCATCAGTTATTAAATTTTCAGTTTCAGTCAATTTCTGATTGTGTTTCTCAATCTGCTGTGTTAACTCATTAGCTTGATTCTGATGCTTTTGGTTCACTTCTTCTCTTATATTAGATAACTGAGCGATTCTGTTACGCTGCTCATCAACAACAGAAGTGTATCTATCGTGGACCAGCTCTCTCGATTTCAGTGAGTCCCTTTGAACTTCCTCTAGCTGTTTCTGAAGCAATGCAATACATTCTCTTTTGGCTGTAATATTTTCATTAATTTTAAGGGTATCACTATTATATTTATCTATTTGGAACTTAATGGCACTTTCCTCTTGCTCATAACACTGATTTCTTTCACTAAGTAACTCTTTCCGTTGGACCTCATTTTTCTCTTCAACATCGATTTTAGATTTCAATTCCTGTGTAACACTGTAAAAAAGAAAAAAAAAAGAAATTAGTTGAAGGACAAGGCAAGTAAATTTTCAAAGAAACTCAAGGCTTACCTAGAGACCCGATGTTTTTCTTCTTCCATAGCTTTCAATTGACTGTCAAGAGAATGTTCGTTTTCTAATGCAGTCTCTAGAAGCTTTTGTAATTCTTCACATTGTGATGTCATGGTTGATAGGACATCCCTATTTTCAGCACACTGCAAGCATCATAGGTATAAGAAAAATGTTATGTCACAACTGGGTTCACACAACATTGTAAATTAGAATAGTAAACACACCTTTTGGGATATCACATCAGTGTTTTTCCTTGTAGCAGTTATTTCTGCTCTTAAATTGGCAGCTTTGTCCGCAGCCGATTTTTTGGTAGCCAACAACTTAATTTCCAGTTCAGACACAGCCTTCTGGCCAGCACTTTTGGCATCTTCTAGTTCCTTCCTAAAGAAAAAATGTAGGATTATATTTCACTCAGAAGACTACGGCTTTATACAGTGCCTTACCTCTGGCTGTCCTGCTGTGATTTGAATTCTGAATTCGTTGATCGCATTTTGAGTAGTTTATCAGACAAATTACTCTCCTCTATATCTGCTTCAGCTAATCTTTCAGTCAAGTCTTTCGACTCTTTCTCTGCCAGAATCTTCTCCTTCTCAAGTACTTCTATCCTGCAACAAACAGAAAATGCCCAAGTGTTTCAGTATTGGGTTTTTAAAACATAGATGTTTCACATTTAAAATATACTGTACACATGCTCTCATTGTACCTTCCGGTAACAGCAGAAATTTCCTCCTCTAACTCATTTGATTGAACAGATAGGCAACTGTTTTCCTCAATAATTGGTTGCAGCCGAGTTTCTATTGAATTTTTTATCTTCTTTTCTAGGCTTTGGACTCTATTGACAAGTTCAATTGTTTCCTAGAAGAGATATAACACAGCATTACTTTGAAATGCTTTTGAGCATCATTTATTAAAATTTATTGCAAGGTCATGTTACCTCATCATCCTCAGAGATATCCTGAATTCTCTTCTGTAAAGCCTCACGTTTTTGCCTGGCTGCTGCTAATTCAAGGGTCTTTTGTTGCAAGTAGGCTTCAGCTTCAGATGTCTCCTTATCAAGTTGAGCCATACGGGTCTCATGGCGGATTCTTTCAAGCTCGTTTTTCGTGCGGAATTCTTTTTCCACATTTGCATTTCTTTCATCCAGTTCCATAACTAAAACACATAAAAAAAAGGGAAAACCCATGAAATAAACTGAAGTAAAAATTGGGAAGTATTTCAAGACTTCTACCAACATACTTTCTCGTAGAAGTCTTTCAGCTTCTTTAAACTCCTCTGTCATTTTATCAGCCTCTGAAATATTCTTAATCATTTCGATAAGTTGATTTGATTCTAGGATTTGATCATCTCGCATATGTGACAGTTGAGATCTTGAAGTATCAAGGTGTTCACAGTGTTGACGTATGGCAGCTCCTATTTCACAGGCATGTTGCACTCTACAAAATGAAAACAAGAAAACTCAATGTAAATCACCAAAATTGATTGATGTAAACCCATGATCTTTTTCTCAACTAATGAACTTACTTGGCCTGGATTGTCTGTCTATTTCTGATTGCTGCGTCAAGTTTGCTGCTTGTTTGCTCCACATTCATCTGGGCCGTTATAATCATTTGCTGCTGCTTGTCGTGAAGTTGTTGCAGACTCTTCTTCTTTTCAGCAAGCTCTTTCCTCCTTCGCTCAGATGCAATGAATCTTGAACAACACTCTTCGATAGTTGCTTGTATCTCAGAAACAGGCACCGTCTCCGCTCCAGAGCTTGCTGCATCACCCTGCAACAATTTACGAACAGATGAAAAATCAAACCTCAGTCAACGACACAATCCTGATTTGTCCATGTCTCTGTGGCAGTGTAGGAAGAAACCGGTATGCATCCAGAGTCTTTGGAGCTGCCCTCGACGGGACTGTGAGTCCTACTGCCAGCTGGGGGGCTCGACGCAGGCCACGCGGGGCAGGGCGGGGCAGGGCAGCGCAGGGCAGCGCAGGAGCAAAGTACAGTTCCACCCCACATCTGGCCACATCCACAATCCATACCTGTGTCCGGCTCGGACGAAGCTGCTGACTGGTGAATATGGAGTCCAACTGGTCGTACTTCTCTTGCAGGGTTGAGGGTCCAGGCCTCGGCCCAGCCGAGGAGGAGGAGGCGCCTGCTTGGCTCGCCCCGGGCCTCATGTCTCTTCGCTTATCCATGGCTTATCCCGCACTTGAATCGACAAGAATCTCTCAGAAGTAATCCTGGATGAGGAAACCGGAACGATGAAATAAAGTCAAGAGTTCCAGACGGCGGCAACCGTCTCTTACCTTCTCGAACAACTAACGGACGCCACCGGTCAACGGTTTCACAGTTTGAACGGAAAACTGAAAGTACGGCCCGGAAGGAGCAGGCGTACCAACAGCGCAGGGCGGCAATGGCAACACCGAAAAAAAAAATTCACTGCGTACTTTCTGATCAGAACTGCGGATTTCAGTTTTGAAATTGAGAAAGAGAGGCCATATTACCCCATTAAAAATGCAAAGCTGATTTGTTAAAAATAGATCACCGTGGCGCTTCCACATAATAGAGGAAAAAGAAGTTTTGTCTTGGGAGGGAAGGCCCACTACTAGTGGTATTAACTTAATTTTCGTGAATTTGGCTCACATATTAGCCTGGAGGGCGTGATGCAGTGGATATCCATCCTTGGGTGGCGGGTGTGACAGGACAGGTGCGGATAGGTCGCCGTCTCTTTCATCGGACGAACGTAGGCTGTGTCAGTCACTGTAAAGAAAGTGAGTGATGTTCTCTTGAGAGTGCTATGCATTCACCTGTTCCAATCGTTTTTCTGACCAAGCCCTTCCTTGACTTTCCTGAGAAGTTGTATGTCCTCTGTAGCTAGAGGAGGCTCTTTTAAATTGAGAAGGCCATTAGGGTCCATTCCCTGTTTTTGACATGGCTGTACTTGTACGATTCTGATGACACATGCATTACTGGAAACTGTCATGGGTTTTAGGAAATGAAATACAGTTTACAAACCATTCCTTTTGTTTTATTAATTCGCATCTTTCAGTGGAAAAAGCTAAACACCGTTAAAATGACTAAAAAATACTGTATACAGTGCAAAAGCTACATTATAAAACCCACAACTTTCATAAAATATGAATGCTTTGAGCTAAGCATGCAAAATGGTCTCAGACAACATGAATACACCATTTTCTCACACATTAATCACATAGCTTAAGCTTGGTTAACATATAGGCACTCAGTGTGCTCCAGTTCTGTGCTTAGCATTATCAGTACAAAATTGAAGCTTAAAAAATTAGTTCTGGGTACAACCCCAAAATTACTTCAGTTCAAAAATTAAGACTTATGAGATCTTACAATGTGCAGTAACAAAATAAAATTAGAGCAAGCTCATACACATCTGGGTTAAAAGAAAAAAAGCACAAAGGCTTATGCAAATAGAAATAACACCTTTGATTAGTACGGTAAATAGCATATTTGCATCAAAATCACAATTCCTCAATTTACAGGCATTTGTTCACAGAGGCAAACAAATTATCCAGAAGATGCAGTCTCCTGCTGATCATTTGTGGTCAGAGACATACGTTCCTTGTTCTGCCTGACCACTTCAGCTCGGCGATCCTGTTTAGACAAAAGAAAATGAATTATTAATACCTGAGTGTATTTTTTAAGTGGTACAGTAAAGAATCAGGAATGAAGTCTCAACTAACCCGCTCTTGAAGGCGCTCAAGCATTTTCTTGATGTTCTCGTCGCGCTGCTCAGATGCCTTCTTCAAACTCTCCTGGAGAGCCTGGTTGATCTCCTCCGCCTGCTTGTCCAGGTTCTGACGAGTCTCCTCACCCTTTTTCAGCTGGAATATCAAGAAAATTCACATTGAAGGTAAAATTTTGGAGTGAATCCGTGGTGAAAGGACTGTAGGTGAACTTACCTGATCTTTGACCTTCTCCTTGACAGAGTTAATGTGGGCTTCACGGTTTTCAATGTGGCTCTTTATCCTCTGGTCAAGAGATTCCTTCCGCTTCTTCACTTCTTCCTCATGCTTCTTGGCAATGATTTCGATTTTCTCCACCTGAGCAACATCCTTGACCTTCTCCTTGACAGAGTTGATGTGGGCCTCACGCTTCTCAATCGCACTCTCCATACGCTGCTCCAAGGACTCCTTCGCCTTCTTTGCTTCCTCCTCACGCTTCTTGGCAACCATCTCAATCTTCTCCATCTGAGCTGCCAGCTGAGCCACCTTGCTGGCCTCAAATGACTGAAAATTCACAAACGGGCGATTAGTTAGCATGTTGTAACCAGATTGATTTACCACAATAACCGAGTTACCAACTCACCAATCTGCGCTCCTCAGCAGCCTTCAGTTTCTCCTCCAGAGGCTTCGCAGACTTGGCAGCACGAGTTGGAGAGGTGTTGCGTCTAGGAGGGGTCTGAACTGCAGGTTCAGCCAAAATCGCCTCATACTTGACGCCACCCTTTGCCGTCTCCTGGGCCCGAATCTCAACAGCTGCAAAAAAACAAACATCTGCATTAGCATCTTGGCATTCATTGTGCAAAAAGCCCAAAACGTTTTATTTTCCTAGCACAGCAAACTCAAAAAAAAAAAAAAAAAAAAAAGAGAGCAAAATAAGCCGAATGAACCCAAGAACGTGCATTGCGGTTTCTCAAACGTGAAGCTTTCCTTCCTCACTTCACTTAGCCTGCATTGCAGCCCAGGGCGCCCAGGGCCCACACCACTCGTCGGTAGAGCGACTTCCCTCCGCGCGTCGATACTCCACGCGCATCGCCCCGCGCGTGGGGTATCTCCGCGCACCCCACTAAATGGCAATGGCGTGTCACAATCCACCGTCCGTTAATTGCACCCAATAATTGAACCCATTCTTCCACGCCAGGAGCATCGAACCCGATCCACCCAATCCATAGTTGCGCAACGACTGCAGCAACTCCCCTCGGCGATGCCAGTTTGGGCCGCAAATCCGAAATCCGGCCCGACCAGCCGGCCAGCCCAACCAGCGAGCGCGCGGCAGTCGCTCCGCGGTCCGCGGCAGCGCCGAGACCCGGTAGTGTATAGTGTACCGAGGCTGCCGTACGGAGATCACGTCGCCGGCCATATACGGCACGCGGGGCGGGGCGGGGCGGGGCGGGGCGGGGCGACCCCAGCGGCGCTGTCGTGCGCGGGTCCTTGCTCCCCGGATGTGAACCAGGCACTTCTCTGAAACATTCAGCACCCCGGCCAGCCGCCCAAGCCAGCGGGCCAGGTCGGCGCGATTCCCGCCATGGGCCGCCATGGGCCGCCATGGGCACGGGCAGGGGTATTGACCACCACGACGATGGCGGCCGGCCTCTGCCTCGGCCAGTCCAGCGATTCCGCCACCGGCACTCCTCGCTCTGTCTCCGTCACACCCACAAGACACGCCATGAGTGCGAGAGAGGCAGCGCGTCACCCGGAAATGGCTAATCCCGGCACCGCAACCCTCCAGCCCAGCCGGGCCAGCCCCCCGCGGAGCTGGCGGCCGAGCCGAGCCAACCCCACTCCGCCGTCCTGGTCGCGTGCGCCCCGCCCCGGACGCCCACACACGTGTGCACGACACGGCCAAGTGAAAAGAGCGCCGCGCAAACGCCACCTTTAGGGTATCGATGACGTTATATAGCCCCCCCTCCCCCAGGGTTTGCAGTCACGAAACCCTAATAACCAGAGCCGCCGAGTCCGAAGCAAGGTCGCCAAGGACGACAGCGACCCCGCCATAGGGTCACGTCCACCACCCGGCCCACCGTGCATCGCCCTGCGACGCGCCCTCCCAGTCTCATTGCCTCCGTCTCTCTCACCCTCCCCATTGATTCATCCCGGCCCTTTTATTTTTCCTCCCTCTCTCTAGCGGCAAAAGGGCTGGTTATCAGCAGAAACGCAGCCGGCCCCCTTCACACAGCGCCGACAGCACCAGAAGTTGTTCCTCCGAAGGAACATCTGACAAGCTTGTATAAAGCACAAACCGGGGGTAAAAAGGCCCCTTGCGTGACTATCGCGAGGCAGCAGAAGCGCGCAGAGCAGCCAAACAAATTAAAGAAATGCGCTGGCAGTCAAACTATTGGCAAAGGCGGTGAAATCGTGGCTGAAGGAGCCTCACTCACTGCTGTACTTGACACGCCTGTACTGCTTCGACTGCAGGCGGCCTTTGGCCGGGGACTTGAGCAAGCCCTTGGCGTCACGGCGTCTGGCCGCGGGACGACCGCCCGGCCCTGCAACACCACCACCACCGTCACCACCAGGACAACCACCACCAGCATGCAAAAGGATCCATTCGTTTGGAAAAGAAGCAGCATGGATGGGGCGGTACTGCACCACCGCCAGGACGACCACTCGGTCCTTCAAAACTACCATCACCATGACCACCAGTACCACCACCAGGACGAGCAAGACGATTATGACCACCAGGACGAGGACGAGCAGGACCAGCAGGACCACCAGCACGCAAAAGGGTTGGAAAGCAGCAAGCAGGTATGGGTCGACCACCACGGCGACCTCCGGGTCACCTAGAGGAAAACCGCCTCCACCAACACGCCGCGCTGCGCTGGGCGGCGCTAGGCGGCGCTAGGCTGGTTAGCCGTGCCAATAAACGCAGCCTTTTAACGCTCTCGCCGTTCCTTAACGTTCCTGGAGACAGCGCCGTAAACCTCCAGAACGACCCCAGCAGGCCGGGCCAGGCAGCAAGGGTGATTCCCAGCGTCTGTCTCTCTCGCACTCGTGGGGCGGGGCGTGGGGGTGCGAGAGAGACAGCAGTCCGGCAGGGAAAGGGCGGCCGAACGGCCCCGCGGGGAGGCGACACGACAGTGCCGTGGCCTAAGGCCGCGCGACAGCGAGGACGACATCGATGCACTTCCAGTGGACTTCCAGTGCAACCCAATCGACCCCGTCCGGCCGACCGGCCGCCAGGCAGGCGAGTCATGCCAAAGGTTCGCGTCTTCTGGCCCACTGTGCGCGGCGCGTGCCACTGCCGAGGCACGTCCGTCAAAGTAACTCTTTCCGACTTTTCCAACGACGAGGCGGCACGCCGCGGCACGCCGGCAGACAGACCAGTCCTGCAGACCGACGGGGCGCGCCGTCCAGGTGCGAGAGAGACAGAGCGACGAGAACGACTCTCGGAATCCGTCTGCGGGAGTCCTGGTTACTGCAGCACTCACTCGAGACACGGCCGGGCGCGCGTGCAGTGTGCAGTACGGCGACAGAACCGGTACAGCAGAGCCATTCCGAACGCCGCTTTCGTGCCTCCGTCTCCGTCGCACTCATGGCGCGGCCCGCGCGCGTGCGAGAGAGACAGACGCAGTGCAGTGTGGGCGTCTGCGGCACCACCAGGACCAAGGCGCTTTCGTCGCTCCGTCTCTCTCGCACTCGCGCGGCGGGGCGGCGGGCCCAAGGGGTGCGAGAGAGACGGAGCGACGCTGCCGCCGCCATTACGGCCTGTCATCAGGACGGCACGCGACAGACATCGCTAATCGCGGCGGTGCACTGCCAGTCCCGGTCGGGCTTTCACTCCCAGTGCGGTGGACGCCGGAATGGTACAGGACGGGTCGACGAGGTGTCGCGGCAATGCCGGCAATGCCACTCCGCCGGACTCATTCACCGTCTCTCTCGCACTCATGGGGCGTCCCGTGTTGGTGCGAGAGAGAGACCGACTCTCGGAATCAGTCTGCTGGAGCCCGCGACCGCAGACAGTGGCGAGGGGGAGGGAGGGCCGACCGCACTCTCCAAACAATTAAACGCCCTTCTCAAAGAGTTCGAACATCTTCCGTTTTCTTCTTGGCTCCGCTCCGACAATGTTGTAGAAGAAGAGGGTTTTCAGAACCTCTGGCAAATTTTTTTTTGGCGCGCCGAACCGCGGCGGCAAGACTCCAGAGGCGCCTGGCGCCGCGCGGCCCCACGGCGCGGCTAGGCACGGCCCCCTCCCTGTCGAATGAGTCATCACGGACGGCTCAGCGCCGCCGGCGCACGCCGCGGCCCGCAAGCCACAGGGGGTAGCCACTGGTAGCCGCCGTACCGCGTGGGGCCGCGGCCGCACAGTGGGCCAGAAGACCGGCGGAGGCGGACTAAACTCTAGACGCGTTTCGTCCTCCAGAGTCGCTAAATGGGACTCGATCCGAACGAGTGACCCCACCAATGGATTCGTCGTTCGGAGAGCAATCCATTGGTGGGGTCACACGTTCGGTTCGAGCACTGTTAAGCGACTCTTGAGCTCAAAACGCGTCTGGAGTTTTGTCCACCTCCACCGGTCTTCTGGCCCACTGTGGGCCGGTCGAGTGGCCGCAGGCGCCGCAGCAGACTCATTCCGAGAGTCGATTTCGTTGCTCCGTCTCTCTCGCACCTACACGGCACGCCCCGCGAGCGCGAGAGACAGAGCGTCGCCGCTCGATCAGGGCCTCGAAATGGCGATAAAACAGGGCGGGGTGCCTGCTGCCGGCACGCAGCGCGTCGCAGCGCACGCACGCCAGACAAAAGGGCCAAAAGAGGATTTGGGCAGGCGGCGGCGTCGCCGGGCGTCGCCCCGCTGCCGCAGCAGCCTGCACAGCGACACAGCAGCGCACAGCAGCCCCTCGGGGCGCCAGATGCCGCAGGGCGCCGCAGGGCCTGACGGCCACACCCCCTCGGGGCCGCCGAGACCGAGACCCCCAGGGCCCCGGCCGCAGCCACCGGGGGGAAGGGAAAACGAAACCGAACAAAACGGAGCAATGCGCCAAAACCAGAAAGACTTTCTTCCCCGTTGAGCATGGAGGAGAACCAGACCGACGGGTTGGACAAGGCCCATATTGTGCCGCCGGCCCCGCCCCGCACGCCAGGGCGCCCGGCCACCAGGACGACGCGCCACCGAACCCGCAGCCGCGAATCAACTCCTGCAAAGTCAACGGAACCACACCTCGGCGACATAACCTCGCGGCGCATAGGGTGGCCAGCCGGCGACCGGCCGGTACCCGCGGTGCGGTGACTCAGTGTCGCGGCCTCACCTCGTGGCAGGTTGCCTACTCGTCCCGGGGCGCGGCAGCAGACGCAGAAGCCCTGCTGGATGAGGCCGGAGATGGACGTGAAGAGCATGGCGACGGAGAGACGAGAGCAAGGACGGCGTGCTGCCGGGTGCTGGGGCGCGCGACGTCTGCCCTTGCCGGCGACGCGACGGAGCGGCGAAACCACCCTCCACGCGGTGCCCGTCAGCCGTCCGCCCCCCGGGCCCCCGCCGCCCCCGGCACCGCCCGCCCCGCCCCCCGCCGGCCTGCATCGGTCAATATCGGCGCCTACGGCGGCGCGACGGTGGCGGCTCGGGGGCGGCGCTCTGCTGGGGGCGGCCTGGGGGCGGCGCAACACCGTCTCGCCACTTGTGCCGCGACCACGTGCCGGTCGGGGCGCGGCGGGGCGCCACGAGAAACAACGACAAAAACTATAAAAGGCGTCGACGGAGGGGAAGGAGCAACTCATGGAGTAAAAACGAGGGCCGAAACGAGGCAGCGGAGCAAAAACGGCCACGGCCAGAAGTGCCCCCGCGAGGATTCGAACCCACAACCCACGTGGGCGGGACTTGTAAGCCCGCAGGACAGCGCCATGACTAATTCATAACGAAGGGGGTGTCGGGAGGAAAGCCGCGAATTAAAGTCTTTTTTCACAACAACAAAATTGCAGACTTTCATAGCAGCCGGGCCGGGCCCGCCAGCCAGTCGCCCACCCACGCAGGCAAGTGCCCCGCAGGACCCGCAACCCGCGGCCACGCAGCACGACCGCGGCACCGAGCACTACAAGCTGGCCATGCTGGCCGCCGCGCCGTGCCCGCCGTGCTGCCATACAGGGCACACTGGTCCGATCCATCAAACTCGTGCCGTGCCCCCCTCCCCCTGCGAGTGCGTCTTTCTCCAAACGCCCATGCACTTTCTTCGACCCGGCTGGTCGCGCTGGTCGCTGCACCGCTGGGACTGGGACTCGCGGACCGCGCGCAGGATATCGCGTCGCCCACACGGACAAGCAGGCCGAGCCGGCGCAGCGACCCGCGGACTGTCCCTCTCGCACTCACGGGGCGTCCCGTGTAGGTGCGAGGCAGACAGCGCGACGACAACGACTCTCAGTCTGCAGCACCGCGAGGCGCGTTGCCCGCGTCCCGCTTCGCACAGCTTCGCGGCGCGGGGCCAGCCGCTGTCAATCATTTTACCCGACCGGGTGAGTCAGTCCCAGTGCGGACTCGGCGACCGAAAGTGCCAGGCAACGCTTTTTAAACGCCCAGGCCGGCCGGGCCGGGCCGCCGAGCAATTTCAAACAGTGCTGCCTCTGTCTCTCTCGCACGCCTGCGGAACGTCCCACGAGAGCGAGAGAGACAGAGCGACGACGACGCCCCGCGGCCGCGCTCTGCAATCAACTCGTCTGGCGCCGCGCTGCACTCTGTGCGAGGGCAACACGCACGCACACCGTTAAGCCACCTCGCGGGCGCGGGTTCAAACACCACCGACTTCATTTTTTTTTTTCGTCGAGATTTTTGTTATTCCTGCGGCGGCAACGCACCGCGGAGCCACTAACGACAGCCGCGAACGCGGCGCGTATTAATTAATGCAAACTAAACCGCCACCGGCGCCACGCCACGTGTGCTCGGCCGGCAAGTGCGGTGCTGTGCGGTCAGCAGGCCGATTCCGAGCGCCGTTTTCGTCGCTCTGTCTCTCTCGCACTCGTGGGGCGCCCCGGGGGGTGCGAGAGAGACAGAGCGACGAGGCGCTTCGCGGATTCAGCCTGCAGCGCGGCGCGTCAAGCTCTAGAGGGTCGACGCCCTGCCAGTGTATGGGCGCCGCGACGCACCACGCACCGCGACGCACGACTCCGGACGGCGCCGCTCTCTGTCGCACCTCGCCGGCACGCCCCGCGAGTGCGAGAGAGACAGAGCGACGCCGCGCGGAGCCAGCCGACGGGGAAAGCCGACGCCGCGCACGTGGGACGTCGGCGTCGGAGAGCCTTTTGCCTTCATAATCCGCGCCCAAAACGCGCTGCAGCCTCGTTCCGGCCTCAGTCTCTCTCGCACCCGTGCGGATCCTGCGGGACGCCCTGGGAGTGCGAGAGAGACCGCGCGACGGCGGTGACGCGCCGTGGCTTACGGCGGGCCCTCCGTGACGGCGGCGCCGTGTGACGAAGCGTCGCGGCGTCGCGGCACTGGGACACTTTCCGCGGCGCCGTGCCAGCCGTTCCAGCCCCAGCGGACACGGTTCACCGGGCGCGGCCAGGTCGCCGACGACGGCCCCGCCCCGCCCCGCCCCTTCGGTTCCGCGCGCAGTCAGTTGTTGCGGCAAGCCAGGCAAGCGGCCGCCGTCGTGGCTCAACGGGGCGAAGGAAAGGACACCGTGGATAAAAGTCGATTATCGCAGCTAGTACCCAAACGAAAGCGACACGCCGGCACGGCCTTCGACCAGTGGCGTAGTCAGCATGGAGGCTGGAGAGCCGCGACAAAGACACCCACGCCTTACACCTTAGACCAGCGGCGTAGCCCATGGCACAGTGGATATGCCAGAAGACCGGTGGAGGCGGTCAAAACTCCGACCGTGTTGAGCTCCAGAGTCGCTAAATGAGACCCAAACGGAACGTGTGACCCCGCCAATGAACGTAGAGTCCATTGGTGGGGTCACACGTTCGGTTCGAGCCCCATTTAGCGACTCTGGAGCTCAAAACGCGTCTAGAGTTTTGGCCGCCTCCACCGGTCTTCTGGCATATCCACTGTGGGCCGGCCGGACTGCCGGACGGCGCACGCGGATGGGTTGATGCGGTTGGGGCACGCGTGCCTGGCGGTGCACTGTGCACTGCCGCACTGCAGTTGCAACACGCAGAGGCGGACGCGGCGGACGCGGCCCGGCAGCACACATGCAACGCGTTCCGATGCCAATTAGACAGCAAGCACCCCGCCGCCCACTACCGCACGCCAAAGACCATTCTTTTGTGTCTGCCAGACGACGTCTGCTTCTGTTTTTTCGAATGCATTTGCATTGGCAGCACACTGCACTGCGCTCGCCTCGCCACCAGGCGACGCGGTTACTGCTCAAGCACCGCGCTGCGGACAATGGCTGGCGCCAGTCGCACCCACTCGTCGCGTTTCCGACAAATGTCAAGCACGCCACCACCGCAAGCAGCCCGGACTTCCCTCCACCACGTCGTCACCGGCACTCTGTCTCTCTCGCACCTATGAGGTCCGCCCCACGAGAGACAGAGCGCCCAAAACGACTCTCAGTCTGCAGGGTACTCACGCTCGTTGGGGGCCATGGCTGTAGCCGTCCGTGGGGTCCGGGACGTCGGGACGGAGCAGAGACGGGCGCGGGTCTGCGGCTGGCGAAGCACTGCGAGGAGCTGCAACCAGATGGAGCACAAGAGGACAGCGTGAGCGGAGGGCAGCGAGGGGGGCGGCGCGGGGGCGCGGTAGGGGGCAGGCACGGGGCAGGGGTCCGCGACTGCGGGGACCGCGCCAAAGGAAAGCCCCCTTCCCTCGTGCCCCCTCCCCCCTCTCGTGGACGACATGGCCGAGTTGGCCGGTACGAACAAACAAAGGTCGAGGAAGTCGCTCCTCCAACTCCAGTTCAGTCCTGGACGCCCCTCCCCCCCCCCTCCCACCCGGGGCCCCAGCCTGGAGGAAGTGAAAAGCAGCAACAGGCTGACTACCCGTCGCGTCGCGCCGAGCTGCTACCCGTACTCGCACCTAGTCAGGCCAATCCAAATAAGGACGCCGGCGCCGCGACGGAGACTGGAGTCGACTTGGTCGCTCTGTCTCTCTCGCACCTATGCGGGACGCCCCAGGAGTGCGAGAGAGACAGAGCGACGAAAGCGCGAGCACAGCAGGCCCACTGCTGCATCCAGGAGTGACAAACACCCTCCACACAAAGGAAGCCAGCAGCAGCACTCGGCAGTGTCAACAGTGCCACTGTCATGTGGAAATGCGGCACAGGGTCCAATGAATCCCATGGCAAAAGGTACAACAAAGTACGGGTGCCACAAAGCAAAATGAGACACGAGGTTGAGGCATTAACGAGTCACCAAAGAAAGAGGCAATAAATAAATCCTATTGTGTCGTGACTCATACCAGATTAGATTATTACGCTAATCAACGAACCCAATAAAAGAGCTTATCAGGGCAACGAGCCATTTCCTCAAAAACAGAACAAAAGCTAACACATTGAAGTGATTTTTAATCTTCGCAATAACAGTAGCCAGACAGAAACAGACGCAGTCCACACCATTAAATTGCTCGACATCAATTGGATTTAAACAAAAACTTTTAAGAGTGTCCTCTTGGTAGACGTAACACAGTAAGCGATCATGTCACTCACTCCACTCCCTATCAAAATGGTTGCGGTGCATGTGAAACAAACCGCAATATTTTTTTCAAATTCAGCAGGCAAAATTTAAAGTAGGTACGAATTTTGGAATAAGATGTTGAAGACGAAAAGGCTCGGGCAGTGCGCTGGTCACACGGACGGGCACTCAGCAGAGCAGCTGATTCCGATCAGAGGTGTCCAGGTGGGCCGAGGACTCCAGGTCCTTTGTTTACAGACGGCCAGGGGGGCCCAGCATCCGAGAACTACGGCCGTCGCGGCTACAAACGAACAACCTACGACTGCAACAGCACTCGGGGTTCAAAACGAAACCCAAAAGAACGTCGTTTCATTCAAACGCAGGGCGGAATGAGGAATCCGACACAAAAGGACGCACGTTTTCGTTACTAACAACAAAGGGCACCGAGCGTGACCGTTGGCTTCGGGTCGGCTCGGCAACGCGGGCCTCTCACGAGATGTGTTGGTCTCGGATCTCACGATGCGTAGCCTGATGCATCAGCAAATGCTGATGAGCAGGAAGACTTTAAAATACCTTTTCGACTGCAACTGGCCGGCACACTATCTTGAATCGGACTGCCTCACACAAAGCGCACCCACAGCAACAGCACAGCGGAGCGGGCCAGCGGGCTGCGAACGCGAACGTTGTTGACTGTTGTCTCTTCCTCTCTCTCTTCTTTCCTCGTCTCGTCTCGCTGCCGCTGCCTCTCTCACTCTCGCGTGGGTTGACGAGTCCCGCCAACCGGAGCGCCGAATGCACCCGAAGCCACCCGAAGCACGTTCGCCTGGAGCCGAAAGGAAGCGCGCGCTATTTCAAATCGCTCGCTGCTCGGTCAAGCCTTATCCAGCTAGAGATAGACTCTTAAAGTTGCTCACAGCCAACCAGCGCATGGCGAGCTCGTAAGTCAAGAATAGGATCGGGAAAAAAAAAACCGTCGACAAGCCTTCTTAATGAAAAGTATTGCATTTTATTAAAAATTTGAAGTTAGATCATGCAACATTGATGATTATCTCACACATCGGTTTAGTGTTTCGGGCACCTACTTTACAAGCAATAAGTTAAAGTCAAGGGAAACAAAACTGCAACTAGGATAGAGGCAAGGTTTAATCTTTGCGAAAACTATATTGTTTGACATACATTTTTTTCTCATGACACAACAGTAAGAGTATAAGGAGAAGGTGAAAATACAGCTCAGACTAATTATCTCAGAACACAAAAGTAATTTTATCCGTGGTAAGTTGTTCAAAAAAAATTGAAGAACCGAATGTGGGCATTTTGAAATGGAGAACTATTGTCTCCATCTCTGTTTCATACACAACAAACATAAAAAATTATTACAGCCAAAAAGTTGCAGACCAAATTTCTAGTTTCAGTCTCCACATAAAAAATATATCAGCCACACTAACACATAAAGCACAGGCTTAACTCAGTTACACAATATTTAACAATGAAGGGATTTATAGCAGATGGATAGGATAGGTCACATATCATGGTTATTGGTTAAATCGCAAAAAAAATATATGGAACAATAGAAGAGTAGTCTCATCACATGGAAAGATAAGCAATTATAAAAGAACTCCTAGGCACTGTGGTCAAGTTTGCAAATTTGGGAGGAAGAGCAGGAGGGATTCAGGTTGTAAACTTGAATTACACTACAGATAGAGTTCACACAATATGGTCAATATACAACTACAGGGCTTACAAGGAAAGGCTTCCATCGAGAGCTGTTAAAAGTTTAGCACGAGTGAAATAAATTCATGTCATTCTACATATTGAATTTTTTTTTTTTTTTTTTGACATTTAAAAGCCAGAAACACAAACATTAAAATACACTGACACAAATAATGTGTTCTAGAGAAGGTATCAAGAAATAGAACTAGTATCACCATTGATAAAACCAACAGACCAAAATTAATGGCTTGGAAAAAATAAACATATATGTATTAAACTTCAAAATAAACTACTATATGCTGATAAGAAAGGCCACAGGTATATGAAGGCAGGGGTGAAAAAGAGACTTGTCCACCATTTCAAACAAACAGGAATGTTGTCTAGCACAAAACCACAACAATAATTAACCATAGAGAACACATTCCATATTTTGTCATTAAAAATATCATACATAAGTGTACGTAAATTAACAAAAGAAAAAAGACAACAAAATTTTCAAGACTATTGAAAACAATTAAAAACAGTTTTTATTTTTTAAATTTGATTGTAATTTGCTGAGAGGTGCCTCTATCTTCGCAAGTCAATAACTTCCACAGGTAAGTCACTTTCAAGCCTAGCATGGTCAGCAACCTACAAGAGAACAGAAAAGTTAATATGGTAAATTTATTTTATCAACAGAAAAGCCAAGTGTATTTCAAATTTCATGCTCACTGAGAACAATGGGGGTTCTGAAGGGTGTGGATGGAAACCTGTCTTGGTGCACTTTGCAATGAAATCCAGTCCATAGTTTTGAGTGAGGCTAAATATGCTGTTACTGTAAGGTCAGAAAAAAATATTTTTAAAAGTTAAACATAATGTGCAAGACAATTACGACACAGCTTTGATAAATTGAAGAACATACTCTTTGTAACGTGGAGCACATACAATTGCTATGGCTTCAGGCATCATTAGTTGATAGGAACAATGCGTATGCAGGTCAACACTTGAGAGGAAAGCTGTTTGTGAAGGATGAGTCTGAAAAAGGAGATCCAAAAACATAAAAACCGTGTTGCATTAAGTTACTAACTATGTTGATAACTGGATAGGATATTTACATGAATCCATCCAAGGGTGATAAGATTGTGTTTATCTTGGTACGTAAATACTTCCTCTTCATTTTCTGTTGTGCATGAGTCAGGTGTTGCATTCTGCTTAGGTAAGATGAGGTGAGTAATTACCAATTGATTTTGATCCTGAAAGAGAAAAATAGGTGAGACAAGGAAAGGCTTACAACAAGTCAGTCAGATGTTCCATGTAGAATTTACATGGTGGCCGAAAAGTTACATACCACCAGCCCAGCAAGAATGCCACAAGTTTCAATGTTCTGAACAGTGGTGCCATGGGCCAGAACTAAAAATCTTTCCACTAATTGACTTGGAACAACCACATTACGTAAACCATACTGAGATTGAACAGAAAGACTTAATAGCGAGGCTGGCTTTGTGGTTCTATCAATAGTTGGTAGGCTGTAAAAAATAATATCCGTTTAAAAATTAAAGTTCAACAAACTTAGAGGTTTTATAAAAGTTTAAAATATTGGTGGTTTACTTGAGTTACAAAATGTTGAGCTAACCTTGGACTCAAACTTTTGTAACTGGTAGGAACGGAGGGAACAGCTGGGAGATGGACTGTCGTCGGTTCCAGGTAGGGTGCAGAGGGCAGGATGACTCTTTGATTGCTAGGCAAAGTATGATTGGCATCAGGATACACTATGCTGTCTAGGGGAACTGTTGGGCCAGTCACAACATCAGAGGTGGCACGACCAATATTCGAAATAACTGCATCCTGCTTCTGCTTCAGCTGTTGCCTCCTCTGTTCCTCAATCTGCTGTCGTCTTGCTTCCTCCTCAGCAGCGACTCTTTGCTTCTCTCTCAACCAAGTCACCTAGACAGAGCGTCAAAGACATTACAAAACGTCCATTGCAAGCATACTCAAGCAAAGAGGAAATAAACTAACCTTTTGTTGGTACTCCTCTTCAAATTGTTGCCGAAGACTCTCTTTAAGTTTTTCTGCTTTCGGAATAGCTGATTTCAATTTTTCTGACACAATTTTTCTGTCTTGTGCTGGGAGTGAAGCCCATCCTGGATGTTCCCTTATTTTTTCAAGAAATAATCTGAAATGATGTGGGGGAGAAAAGTTGGTGAACCAATTTCCATTAATTGATTGTAAAAGGTAGAACTCATGTGACTAACGTTATAAATCTTAAGTAGAGCAGGTACGCTTCTTTAACATCGCCTTGTTTGATGTACATATCTGCCATTCGCACCATTTGAAGACCAGATCGAAAATACCTGTCAAAAGAAAAAGGAGCGGAGTTAATTGAAAGCATAACGTCCAAGAAAATTCCGGAAATTCACTGTCACCAAACACTGAGGTCTATCTCGAAAAGTAATAAAAATCTTAGGACCCATGACAGACAGACAGGTGACAATAAAACTTAAAAAACAACATGATTGTAATAAAATCCTTACATGACAGCAGGCAGGTTGTGATCCACAGCTAAGGCTGAAACCTTTTCTGCCATTCGACGAAGACGGACAGCAGGGTTGGGCACTCCATCTATCTCTTTCAAGTCATCCATTGTGTGGGCGTAACTCCCACCCGATGACACCTGGGTCCTAGTTGATCAGTGACTCATTCAATCAAATGTTTGGTCTCAGAGTCGTGCGAAAATCCGACATGCGACAATGTTCCACTTGAAAGCCAACCGAAGAAAGTGACTCCTGCTAGATTCTCGAAATGGAAATTCAAAAATATCAAGTTTGTAGCGCGTCCTTCAAATAATCAGTCACGTCTGCTGAAATATTAGAAAGAATTCAGGAAGGAATAATGAATGAAACATGCAGAACATGTCAAATTTTGTCACATTGCTATTCACACTAATTTCGTGACGGCGAGGCTAGAGTTTCTGGAGTAAAGTTTCTCATACTTTTAGCCTCACACACGCTGCCCCCTCCCCCGTGCCCCTTCACCCCCTTCACCCATCCCTACCCCTTCCACCGGTGGTGTGCAGCAGCAGCGCTCGTCGTTGGTTGAGTTTCCAACATTTTCGATTTCGCTGTTTGTAGTGCAATTCGTCTGACAATGGCAACCAATGCACTTAGCAGTGGGTACAGACTTACCCGTTTCGTCCTGGAGAGGTCGTCAAGCGTTCAGCGAAATGCTCTTGCATTGTAAGTGCACTTTTACTTTCACCTTGTCTTTGCCATGGCCCATACAGAGGTTAAGGTTCATTCAAGATTTCATTTGTGGACTCTGTTACCCTGTTGTTTGTTCCATTCTGTTCCTTCTTCCACCTGGGACCCCTAAAATGTGTGAATAGTGTTTACTGTCCTGCCACTTTGAGGAAGTGTTAGCGTTTGTAGTTCCCTTCGTTGGCATCACATGGTTCCCCATTATAAAACCGTCTGCTGTGAAACTACTTGAATTAAATAATTGCAAGCTTTGTTAAGAAGTGTTGTCTATCTCGAACAGTTATTCGTACCTACTGCTCTTTGGGATCTTATAACTGCCGTCGATCATTGCTGTGAAAACTAACTGATTGCATCACCTACTGGTCCACAGAATCAACAAGCGAGCCTTCAGCGCAGCAGCGGAAGAGTCTAAAAACGACTCAACCATTCCACCCACAGGGGAGTCCGAAATAGAGAAGAAACTGAAGCAAGAAATCGAAAAACTTAGCTCTGAATCAAAAGTTTTGTCAGAAAAAGTTGCAGATCTTGATGTGAGTGGTTCATCATTATTTTAATGACAACAATGTTACATGTCATTCAACGCATGATTTTGCAAGTTGATCAGTTTTGCCCTTGTTCTCACCAATTCTTTTTTGTTAATAGGATAAATATAAAAGATCATTGGCAGACAGAGAGAACTTGCGGAATCGTCTAACAAAGCAGATTCAGGATGGCAAATTATTTGCAATTCAAGGATTCTGTAAAGACCTGTTAGAGGTGAGTCTAAATGATAGAATCTAGAAGTATATATGGATGAATTAATAAGTCTCTTTCCTTCATGAGAATATTTTTTAATCCTCTTCCAGGTTGCTGACATCTTAGGGAAAGCTACTGAAAGCGTGCCTAAGGAGGAAGTCAAAGATAATAACCCCCATCTTAAAAATCTCTATGAAGGTTTAACTATGACAGAAGCGCAGCTCCTGAAGGTAAGAGTTGATAAACACCTTGCATGGTTAGATATAAAAATGTTAAAAAAATTTGTACATTATATTTTTTTTGTTGTATTTGTTCGACTAAGGTGTTTACCAGACACGGACTCCTACAAGTCAATCCATTAAATGAAAAGTTTGACCCTAATTTACATGAGGCCCTCTTTGAACAGGTGAGTCTGCCATGTTGTTTGTTGGTACTTTGATGTTTTAATAATGTAATGCAATCATTCTAATATGTGCACTTTTGTTTAAACCTGTTTTATGTAGGAGGTTCAAGGGAAACAACCTGGAACTGTAGTTGTGGTTTCCAAGGTTGGTTACAAGCTGCATGAAAGGTGTATCCGACCAGCATTGGTAGGAGTTGCCAAAGGCCAATAAATTATAATAAATTTTGTCTTATCTTTTAGTACAAAGATGTTTATGCTCGATTCCATTGAAAAAAAAAGATGTACATTATATACTTAGTTCTTTCATAAAATAAACTGTTGAAACTGTTACTATTCAAGTAACACTCTATTTTAATTGATTTAAATTGACTGGCCTTGGACCTGGGACCTTTCAATTAGCTCCTTGGTAAGATTTTGGGAGTGCACTATTCATGGACTAGGATAGTATGTGTATAACCTTGGGTTGCAAGAACAATAACACCAACTTCACTCTTAGTTAAGAATAATTTGTTTATTTATATATTACCTAACAGTGTAAGATTAAAATGTATAAATTACAACTTATTTAAGAAATGATTGGATGGATTTGTTCACAGCCACAGGTTCGTCCTGGTGGACAAAATGATTTCCGTCTTCAATTATCTTAGTTTCAAGGTTTTCAATTTGTTCTTTGAGCATGCCCACACACTGTACATCTATGGCAACATCTTTAGCTCCAAATATGTACAATCCTTTAGGTCTTTCTACGTTCTCTGTCTTGGCCTTCTTAGCCTCACGAACAAGGCCCTTCAATATTACTGAACGGAAAAAAGCTCGGTAGTAGTTGAATGGTGGCGTGATGCACCCTGGAAAAAATAAAAATTAAATTGCTAGAGGGCTACTGAACTGGTTGAGTTCTCAACGACTAATCAGATTCAGTTAGAGTTCCTTACCTGGCTGAGAAAAGGTGTATTTATATGCCTCAATGTCACCGTCTGTCACAAATGGGCTGCTTCTTTTGTGACCCAATAGCATTTTTCGGAACAATCCAAAATCACCAAAAGTCACAAACAATTCGGCTAGGTATGGTACTTGGAAAAGATACATATACCTATAAGAAGTAAAAAAAATTAGCACATCAAAATAATTGTTAACAAATAGGCTAAAAGCACAGCTAATTTGAATACGGACCATGACATGGAAGATTGCTTGGATGTAGATGATCTTTGCAGTTGCATGAACACCTTAGAATTGGGGCCATTCATGATAATGTACTTCTCAATCATTTCTGGGTACCTGTCCAAGAAGGCCCATGATATGACAGCACCCCAGTCGTGGCCGACGAGGATAAATTTCTCCCTTCCTGAAAGAAAAACACAATAAAAACAAGGACTAAATTTGGAGTCAGATGCAACGCTAGAGGCCTAATGATGTGACATACTTACCAAGTGCTGTCACGATGCCTTTGATATCATCCACTAACAGGGGCACTGCGTAGTCGAAGACATCGGCCGGCTTGGGCGAGCCACCGTACCCCCGCATGTCCACCGCCACCGTCCAGTAGTCCCGGCTGAACTCTTTCATCTGGTGCCTCCAGGAGTACCAGAAATCGGGGAAACCATGCACGAACAGCATCAGCGGCTTGGCCCGGTCTCCCTTCCCGACGTAGTGAAACTTCTCGCCCTGCCAATCGGAGACGAAGAGATCTTCACTGACATGATTTCAACCTTTTTTAGCTCGGGCTTGCGACTGTAGACTGATTCCGAGAGTCGTTTTCGTCGCTCTGTCTCTCTCGCACCTATAGGGGACGTCCCATGAGTGCGAGAGAGACAGAGCGACGAAAACGACTCTCGGAATCAGTCTGCTGAAGAGTAGCGCCTGCGACACGGAGGGTAGGCAATCCCGTCGAACGCGGGTGTCGCCTGGTTGCCTACACTGCGCTCCGCAGGCGCCAAGGCCAGCCAAGGCCAAGCCCCCCTCCACGCACCTCCACGCACCTTGACCGTGACGTAGCCGTGCTGCCCCAGGTCCGGGTCCTGCAGGCACTGGGGCGGCGTGGTGCGCGTCTTGTAGCCGAACAGCCAGCGGGGCGTGGTGAGCTGCTTGAGCAGCATGAAGCCCATCATCATGCAGCTGTAGGCGAAGGCCTTGGAGTAGACGTAGACGCTGGCCATCAGCACCCAGCCGATGGAGGCGGTGCGCTGACTCGCTGCCGGCGGCGCCATGGTGCTGCAACGCGTCAAGCAACACGATGTCCAACTGCCGCCGTCCTTCCCCGCCGAAGGGTGAGCCTCGACTCGCCGGTCGCGGAGCCGTCTGCGGTAGACTGATTCCGAGAGTCGCTTTCGTGGCTCCGTCTCTCTCGCACTCATGGGACGTCCCCTGTAGGTGCGAGAGAGACAGGGCAACGAAAACGACTCTCGGAATCAGTCTGCTGATAAGGTGTGATGCGGAGGTTCAGGACAAAAGGGCAGCGCGCCCGCGCGCGCCGCTGATAGCAGTCGCACCTCGTCGACCTAGCCCTGCCGTCGCCGTCCTACCGCCCTGCCGTCGGCTCTGGGATGAGACCTGCAGACTGATTCCGAGAGTCGTTTTTGTCGCTCTGTCTCTCTCGAACTCGGCGGGCGTTCCCTACAGGTGCGAGAGAGACAGCGCGACGAAAACGACTTTCCGAATCAGTCTACCGCACCACGTGTGTACCACGTGTGTCCTGACTGGTCCTGACTCATTCTAGTGACGTCCTCGTCGGTTCTGTCTTCTCGCCTTGCTGCCAATTCGGTCTATCGCGTCCACAACGAAAGCCAGTACACTGTTTTGTTTGAAGGTCTGGCAATGAAAGTGAGAAAACCCCTACGTGGTCTTGACGATGCCCTGGGAGGACACTGCACGCAGTACGCACCTGCAGCGGAATGACGGCGCTGCGTCGTCTGTCTGGATGGAAGATTGGTGGACTAGGAGGCTGGAGTGCCTGCCGGCAGCGTAGCCAGCTTCAGTCACTGTTCGCCCGAACGCGGTCTAAACACGGGTCCCGCGGCCCAAGCGTGGTGGCGTGCCGGCGTGCCCACTGTCTGTCGCTGCCGCGCCGCCTCCCACCAACAACGACGAAGTAGAGGAGTTTCCCCTCTCCCCTCTCTCTCTCTCGTCTGCCGCTCATGTCATCCGCGTTACAATGCTGCCATAGAGAGCAAAAAAAATAAATTCCTACTATGTAACAGTGTGAAAAGGGTTGACAACCTCAGCCTGGGCGACGGGCGATGTCTTGGCCTCGCTATCGAGAAGTGGCCGAGAAGGCAGGCGGAGGTTGGCAACCCTTTTCACATTGGCGCAATTAGTGGGAATTTGCGCCTACTTTTGTGGCAGCACTGCCGTGATCCGAGTCACTCGGCAACGGCGGCAGAGAGAGAGAGAGGGAGAGAGAGATGAAAACACACACACACAGACACACACATGGGCTCAGCATGACACACCAAAAGAGGTTGCCAATTTGTTCTGCAAACAAGGAAATGTGGCCCTTTGCCCCAGACAATCGGTTTTCCTCTCCGTTCTCCGCTTCGCTGGAATTTCCAGAAGCACTCCGCGAGACGCAAAGCTGGTTGTTGTAGTTCTGTCACGCTGCTTCTCACACCGACTGAAGTTCACCGCCAATCAAGCTGTAACGACCTGGCTTCTTTGTTGCCGGGGCCGTCAGGCCGTCGGGCCACGCGACTCCCAAACCACACACCTACACTAGGAGTAGCAGCTAGGCGGGGCTGCCCTGCTGGCTGTGTCGTGTTGATAAGGGCGTGGTGCCTACTCAGGATTTTTCTACGGAGGGGGCAATGTAGTGATTTTTGCGATACCCCCCCCCCCTTGAAATCCACACCTGTAGGGTGGACAAAAAGCTGACAGATGCAGAACTACGTGTCTAGAAAGTTGAGACGTTATTCACAATTGTCAAGGGACTTTTTGTGCGTGTCGCAGTTTAAGAAACACTCGTGCTCGTACATACGCCACGCACTGAAAAGAAAAAAAGTCGCATGAATTTAAAGGCGGCCTGACAATGACACGGCCAATCCCTCAGAATCCAGCCGTGACGGGGTCACCATACATCACCATACCGTAACACACCGAAGACAGACTGCCTAAAAATATCCCGGGAATTCCCGGAGAACTTCTGAAAAAAATCTTCAAAACGTTCCAAAACATCCTTAAAAAAAAAAACTTTTTGCCTGTTGTTCCTCTGAGCTGTAATATGGTCTTTGATGTAAAACGAAGCATCTGAAAATCTCGCTGGATCTCTGGAAACCACTTCACCAGAATACCTTCAGGATTTTCCGATAATTATGAGGTAAGCTTGCGAAAAATCTGACTGGTTTGTCATGCATACAATGTATCCCTTATGAAAACCCCTGGGATAACTTTCAATTAGCAACTTCGGAAGGTCAAATCGAAGTTCAGAGCAGCCCGTTTCGTCATCATGAACATACTGTTGTTGTTGTGACATTGCCTCGTCAGTTGGGTTGCCTACCAGGCCGGCGCCGCCGCGAATGGTCGCTTGATGGGCGCGTACGATGGGTTGCCTACCTCGAGGCGGGGGAAGAGCCACAGCGGCTTGCTCTTCCTGCTGGCACACCGGGAACCTCACCTCTTAGCACCTGTATACACACTGTAAATATTCCGTAGTTTGTCACGGAAAAAGTGCGGACCTGCAGCACTGGTTTTCCCTCCGTAGTCCAGGCACGAGATAAACAGCCACGTCCACTTCGGGAGCGACGCCCAGTGACCCTTGACAAAGCAGCTTGACGACCAGCGGGGTAGGTCGGGGAAAAACAGTCGAAGAATCGAAAAGGCTCTCGAATGAGGGTGTATTGAGGCGAAGAACTATGTACAGCATGAATTAATATCACAACGAGTTATTGAAGAAATGACCGCATGGCTTGGTTGACGACCACGGGCTCGTCCTGGTGGACGAAGTGGCCCGCTTCTTTGACGACCAGCGTCTTGAGGTTCTCGACGGAGAACTCGAGCATGACGACGCACTTGACGTCCAGCGCGAAGTCCTGCGCCCCGAAGATGAAGAGGCCTGGGGGCCGCGGCTCGCCATTGGCCGAGGCCGCGGCCGTGGCGCTGACGTACTCCGGGAAGAGGCCCTGGCGGACCATCGTCCGGTAGGCAGCCTTGTAGTAGTGCAGCAGGGGCGTCAACGCGCCTGGCCAAATCAAAGTGTTTACTCAGCGAGTGTGGACAATAATTCAATTTCTTGAGGTCACTGCAATTTCTTTGGTAAATTTGCTTGTCACTCCCCGGACTGCCAAATTCATAACGGAACGCTACTGGAGAGGCAAGAAAACTTCCAAGTGGAATTGCAGAGATGTCCTCTTACCTGGCTGCGATAAGTTGTATTTATACGCTTCTATGTCTTCATCCGTCACGTAAGGACTTCGGTGGCGTATCAATTCGTCCCGCACCCACGCAAAGTCGTCGAAACTCAGGTACAATTCACCCAGATACGGCATTTGGAAAAGATAAGTATACCTGTCGGGAGGAAAATTTTTCAGAAGGAAGTTTACCAACAAGTTAATCACAGTGTCAATGTCATGACGAGACCCACCACGATCTGGAAGATTGGTCGGAGGAAAAGGATTTTGAAAGTTGGGTAAACACTTTCATTGAGGGTCCGTTCATCATAATGTACTTGGAGACCATTTCTGGGTACTTCTCCAAGAAGCACCATGATATGAATGCGCCCCAGCCGCTGGCGACGAGGATGAATTTCTTTCTTCCTGCAGGATAGAGAAATTTATCGATTCCATCAATGTATGGAAAAGTACAAATTTACACATGGTTCTCAAATTTAACAAATGTGTATTTGTTCCACTTACCAAGCTCCGTTACGATCCCTTTGATGTCATCCACCAGAAGAATCATACTATAGTCAAAAACATCAGACGGCTTGGCCGAGCTGCCGCATCCTCGCAAATCGATCGCCACTGTCCTGAAAGGGAGTCAGAGATGGATTTCTTGCCGAATAGGACTTCCCAGCCACATTGACAGATACTTCCAAAATCTACCGACCAGTAGTCTGTGCTGAACTCTTTCGTTTGATGTCTCCAGGAGTACCAGAAGTCAGGGAACCCGTGTACAAATAGCATCAACGGCTTGGACCTGTCCCCTTTCTCGACGTAGTGGAACTTCAAGCCCTGCAATACAGGCAACCTTTCGTCAACGATCAAGGGGACGAATTTCGTTAGTATTATGGAGAAAATCTCCACCATAATATGTTGGAGCAGCCTTTCACCAAGACATTTTCAGTGCTTGTTCCAGTCACCATTTACGAGATGTATACACCTGTCTTCGACAAAAACGGTTCCTGTTTCTCCCATAGGTGCCCTAAAGCAAAGGCGACTGCAAGGTATTTCCTGGGAAAACCGGGAGCCGTTTTCACCGCGTTCGCAATGGGTTGGGGTCACGGCGGGTCAGAAGCGGGCGCTTTCCACATCTGTGTGCTGGGGCCGTCGGGGCCGTCGGGGCGGCCGTGGCTACGCACCTTGACCGTGACGTAGCCGTGCTGGCCCAGGGCCGGGTCCTGCAGGCACTTGGGCGGCGCGATCCGCCGAGTGTAGGAGAAGAGCCAGCGGCGCGTGGAGGCCTGCCTGCACGCCATGAGCGCCGCCGCGTAGCACGTGTACACCAGCGTCTTGACGCCGATGTACACGCTGGACGCCACCACCCACGCCGTGCTGGCGGTCCACTCCATGAGGTCCTTGTCGTCGCACCACAGTGGGCCAGAAGACCGGCGCCGGCGGCCAAAACTGCAGGCGCGTTTTGAGCTTCAGAGTCGGTAAACAGGGCTCGAACCGAGCGAGTGACCCCACCAATGGATTCCTTCTTCCGAGAGCAATCCATTGGTGGGGTCACGCGTTCGGTTCGAGGCCCATTTAGCGACTCTGGAGCTCAAAAAGCATCCGGGATTTTCACCGCCTCCACTGGTCTTCTGGCCCGCTGTACGCACCTAGAGCCCTAGACCGTGGACCCCAGGGCGCGCAGTGCCGCGCAGTGCGCTGGGCACCTCTACGTCGGCAGCGACGCACTAGTGACCCTATCACAACAGACACTACCCGAGTCGGATCGACAACTGCCGCCACCCGGACAAGCCAGTCTAGTCCGCGGCAGTATCAGCCGCGGATTGGAGCCCGCGGTGGGGGAGGGGGACACGTGGGACACAAGAAAAACACAAAATATGCGGCGGCCTGCAGACCGATTCCGAGAGCCGTTTTCGTCGCTCTGTCTCTCTCGCACCAATGCGAGACGCCCCATAAGCGTGAGAGAGACAGCGCGACGAAAACGACTCTCGGAATCAGTCTGCTGCCGGAGCGGGAAGATTGCAATAAACTGCGAGAGGCGTGAGACTCAGAGTCCTAGATCACGGTAGACATGTGAGAGTCCTAGATCACTGTAGATATGTGATCTAGGAATCTAGGAAGACTTACTACGGTGCACTTATTTCAGCCAGGCTCTCACCGTCTCTTATGTTTTTGTCTTCGTCACGCATGCACTACACTCTAAATCGAAAGGCGGTAGAATGTGTATCACTTTTTTGGTACGGTACAGGATGTGCAGTTGACGCTGGCTTTAGACTTTACCATTAAAAGATTTTACCGCCTTTGCAACAACACCAGTAGATTTAGAGTGTAGTATTAATGCAAACACTGCTCCTTCCGAATGGGCGGGCAGGCAGGTCTTCGGCGCGCGGAAGCATAGCGACCAGTTTTCGGACAGTTCACCTTGAGAGGCGTCAGGACTGGGGAGGGGAGGGGATAGGGGCTACGGCACGCCAACAGCAACACAAGCGCGCCCTTTCATTTGAAACTGTTTTGTGTGACTGTACTCGACGAGGTGTCCTACGTTGATTGCGAGGGTCGAATCCACTGACTCACGCCCGCCGCACAGTGGGCCAGAAGACCGGTGGAAGTGGCCAAAACTCTAGACGCCTTTGTTCGAAATCAATAAAGTTTTTTTTAGAGAGAGGGAGAGAGGGCTGGACTTCACAACCGAGTCACCAACTGTATGAATGAATCAGTGTTGCCACCTAAGTAGGTAAACATTCCCACGAATGCGCAGGTGTCAAAAGGGTTGCCGACCTGCAGGCAACTTCCGAGAGCAAAGCCCTGATATTGCCCAGGCCGAGGTAGGCAACCCTTTCGAGACAGGTGCATCGTGGATCAACAAGACTCGAGCAGGTGCCGAGCAGTTTCACTGTTTGGCCCAATTTCCAAGTCATCGCCCTTTCGGTGCTGTTTTGCTACCGCGCACCGACCTCAACGTCGTCTCTCTCTCTCTCTCTCTCCCCCTCTCTCTCTCTCTCTCTCTCTCTCTCTCTCTCTCTCTCTCTCTCTCTCTTCTCTCTCTCTCTCTCTCTCTCTCCATCTTTAGTGCTCGCCGGTCGCCGCCTCTTCTTGTTTCATTCCCTCCTCCCTCCGAAAATAGCCACCCCTCGGCGTGGCGGCGTGGCCGGCAAGGCGCGTTCCGAAGAGGTTCGTTTTGTCAGTCTGTCTCTCTCGCACCGCCAAGCAACTCCGCGCGAGTGCGACAGAGACAGAGCGACGGACCGACCTTTCGGAACGAAGGCCCGGGGCGCTGCACTGTAAGAATCGGCTGCCGTGCAGTGCCGCGCGCACGGCATGGCACTGACTTTCAATGCGTGTCTGAGCCTGCGCCTGTTTGGATGAAACTCCGCAAAAAAATCCAAAAAAGTGGGGAAAATTGCGCTGAAAAGTCGGATCTTCAGGTGCTTCCTTTCTCTACGCGCACTACAAGTGGGCAAACAACAAGGACACCTTGACAGTCAGCAGCAACTCTCTACCGGCTTCTCGACGGACCCATCTCCACCTGGACGTCTGTGGCGGCCTCTGGTTGCCACTGGCAGCCTCTGGCGCGCTGCCTTGAAGCTCGGCCAAGGCGGGGAGTCTTCGGGAAGGGAGGCTGCGGGACCCCAAACATCTCGGGGCGCGAGTAGAGAGAGGGTCGCGGCGAAGCAGTTGCAGTGCGAGTGCCGGCCCGGTCGGAGGGAGAGCCTCTCGACGCCGCCGTCGTCCTTTTAGCCGGTCTTCGCCTCGAGCCGCGCGTCCGCCACGTCCGCCGCGCCCCCGACACGCGCGGCACTCCGCACCGCGCCGCGCCCACTGTAAAACATCCGCAATCGTAGTAGAGTTTCGTTCCTTTTTTGACAAAATGGTAGGTGAGCCCGTCCAGCCCGTCCGCAGCGGCCTGATGCCGAGAGCCGTTTTCGTCGCTCTGTCTCCCTCGCACTCACGACGCGTCCCGCGTAGGTGCGAGAGAGACAGAGCGACGAAAACGACTCTCGGAATGAGTCTGCAGCGGCGCTGCGGCGGAGGCGGAAGCACGCGAGGCGAGGCGGCAAACCGCGGCAAACTGACAGTCGAACCAGTTTCGCGGACTTACAGTGTCGTTTCGGCTTCAGTCGTGCCGCGTCCCCCGATAGTTGCAGTGTGCGTCTCCCTTCTTGACCATGCTCTCTCATGTCGCCAGGGTCTGCCCATCGACGTCCTCACCAACGACAAGTATGGCAGGTAAGACAAGCGAGCGAGTAAAGTGGCCCGGCGCCGGCGGATGCGTTTTCAGCTCCAGAGTCGCTAAGCAGGGCTCGAACCGACCGTGTGACCACACCAATAGATTCGCGTGCCTGCGTGCCCCAGGTACGCCGTGGCCAACAAGGACCTGGCGGCCGGCGAGGAGGTCATCAACGAGTTGCCCGTGGTGGTGGGCCCCAAGCTCGACACGTACCCGCTGTGCCTGGGCTGCCTCGCCCCCGTGGACGCCTCGGCGCTGTGCTCGGCCTGCGGCTGGCCCGTCTGCGACGCCCAGTGCGAGAAGCTGCCCATGCATGCCGACAGCGAGTGCAAGGTGCGTGACGCGGGTTCGAATACCGGCAGGCGCGGATCCGGATCTTGTGTTTTTTGCCAATTTGCAGGGGCAAAGTAGTGCTGTTTGCCTACCTTCCAGGTGGCCTTAGTGCCTGGGGGTACTTACCCCAATCCCCCTCTCTCCCCCCCCTCTCTCTCTCTCTCTATCTCTCTCACACACACAAGTTGGATCCACGCCTGAGTACTAAACGGTTCAGATCCCCCTGGCTGGCGTTGTAGCCGTCCCCGTGTGCAGGTGTTCCAGGCTTGCGGCGTCAAGTTCACGGTGCCCACGGAGGCCATGGGCACCAGCCCCCAGTACGAGTGCCTGACACCACTGCGGCTGCTCCTGGCCAAGGACAAGGACCCCACGCTGTGGGACAATGAGGTGGGTGTGCGCAGTGCTGCCAGTGTATGCCCTCCATTTGGCACACCACTTCACTTCATGACTGGTAACGTCTTCTGTCTCTCTCGCGTACACTGGCAAGGAGCAACAAGGACATAGCTGTAGAAAACTTTACGACCCTTTCGTGATTCGCCTCGATGACGGCCTTGCAGGTGAAGGTGCTGATGACCCACGCCGAGAAGCGGAGGCAGAACCCGCAGTGGGGCGCCAACCAGGTCAACGTCGTGGACTTCCTGAGGAAGAAGTGCAAGCTGGAGTCGAGGTATGCGGGCATGCCAAAGCACCAAGAGGCGTCGCGCTGTCACATTAGTTGGTGAAAGGGTTGCCAACCTCAGCCTGCCTACTAGGCAACTTCTCGCGGTGGCGAAGCCAGAATATTGCCCTCCAGGCAGGCCGAAGTTGGCAACCCTTTTGACACTGGTGCGTGTACACTTAGTGCACCTAGGAATCCCAGGCCAACCCTGATAAAAGGGGTCTCTTTCCCCAGCCCGCCTGGGAATCTTTGCCTTCCAGTGTGGCAGCACTGACGGGTTGCCGGGGGTTGCAGGTTCTCGGAGGACGACATCCACCAGGCCATCGGCATCCTGGAGGTGAACGGCTTCGAGGCGCGGGCGCAGAGCGGCTCCATGGTGCTGTGCCTGTACCCCAAGACGTCCATGCTCGCCCACAACTGCGTGCCTAACACCGTGCACTCCATCGCCCCCACCAACGAGAAGGGCGAGCGCTACAGGTGGGGGCCCGTCCGGCCCGTCCGGCCCGTCCGGCCCGTCCGATACGGAACGGACACACTGGTCAATCACTTCATGACAAAATCGGTAGACCGCCAGACACTTGGAAATTTTTGGACTCAAATGCTTGTGCTTGTCGCGCAGGATTGTGGTGAGGGCCGCGCTCCCCATCCCCAAGGGCGCCACACTGTACACCTCGTACGCGCACACCCTGGACCCCACCATGCTGCGCCGCGAGCACCTCAACCTCAGCAAGTTCTTCGAGTGCGACTGCGCGCGCTGCGCCGACCCCACCGAGCTGGGCACGCACATGAGCTCCCTCAAGTGCACCAAGTGCGACAACGGCATCATCCTGGCCAGCAACCCCCTCGGTGAGCGACTCGTATACCCTGGTGGGCCGGAAGACCGGTGGAGGAGCTCGAAACTCTCCACGCGTTTTGAGCTCCAGAGTCGCTAAATGGGACTCGAACCGAACGTGTGATCCCACCAATGGATTTCTCGTTTGGAGAGGAATCCATTGGTAGGGTCACACGTTCGGTTCGAGTCCCATTTAGCAACGCTAGAGCTCAAAACGCATCTAGAATTGGTCTCCGCCGGTCTTCTAGCCCACTGTGCGCCCGCCCAGCCAACGGTGTGCGGCGTGCGATGGGTTGCCTACCCTGCGGGCGCGCTGCCTCACTGTAACACGTGAACGTGACCGCTTTGCCCCGCAGACCCGTCGGCCGCCTGGAAGTGCAACGGCTACAACTGCGGCAACACGCTGCGCGGCGACCAGGTGCGCCGAGTGCTGGCCGTGGTGCAGGCCGACCTGGAGGCCGCGGACCAGGGCGAGGGCGACGCGCTGCTCGGCCCCGTGGAGGCGCGCGAGAAGCTGCTCAAGCAGTACAAGTCCGTGTTCCACCCGCGCCACGCGCTCGTGCTGCAGCTCAAGCACGGCCTGGCGCAGATCTACGGCCGCGTGGACGGCTACTCGCTGGACGAGCTGCCCGACATCCTGCTGGAGCGGAAGATGGAGCTGTGCCGGGAGAACCTGGCCGCCCTGGACGTGGTGGCGCCCGGCATGTCCCGCATCAGAGGTAAGGCGAGCGGCAAACGGCTTCGGGGGAAGTCCACTGCACAGTGGGCCAGAAGACCGGTGGAGGCGGCCAAACCAAAACTCTAGACGCTTTTTGAGCTCGCGAGTCGCTAAATGGGACTCGAACCGAGCGTGTGACCCCACCAATGGATTCCTCGTTCGGAGAGCAATCCATTGGTGGGGTCACACGTTCAGTTCGAGTCCCATTGAGCGACTCTGGAGCTCAAAACGCGTCTAGAGTTTTGGTTTGGCCGCCTCCACCGGTCTTCTGGCCCACTGTGCGCTGTCGCCAAAGCTGCCCAGGTACAGGGGCAAGGTGATAGCTTGCGTGGCGTGTGCATGCCGTGCGCAGGCCTGACGCTGTACGAGCTGCACGTGCCCATGATCCTGCACGCGCGCAGCCGCTTCCAGGCCGACCTGCTGAGCGACTCGCAGCTGCGGCAGGAACTGGCGGCCGCGGCGGCGGTGCTGCGCGAGGCGGCAGACATCCTGTGCCTGGAGGACCCCACCACCCCCGAGGGCTCCGTCGGCCTCATGGCCAGGGAGTCCCTGCTGCAGCTCCAGGCCTCCATCGACTCTCTGCCGGTCTGAGCACGGCGGAGCACGGCCACCAGAGACATCTACTTTATTTCATTTATTTTAATATAATTTAAAGGCAAAACCTGTTGGTTGCTTCTTTGCCCCCTCCCTTCCACTATCAATTTGAATTTGGGGTGGGACGTGGGAAATGGAAAGGAAAATGCAGAGGTTTGTTTTTTATGAAATTTCACATTTAATGGGTACATTCAAAAAACATGAAGAGTTGCGAGTCCAACAAACGAACAAGGATAAGATCCCCTGGTACAAGTACGTACATGGTATAGTTAGGAAACTGGTTATTCATATGTAAATGTCTAACAGCAAGCCATACTACAAAACTGTGATAAGAATGAACTTACAGTTTTATGGGATTAAGTAGAAAAGTGATAAAATATCAACCACATCACAAGATAATTAGAAGTACTAGATCCGGCCACTCACCTAGTGCTTGTCAGATCTCTTCCTATCTCACAATCTTACAATACAAAGGGCACATTCAGAGCAAAATGGGCATAGAAAGTGGAAGGAAATTTGTTCACTTATTTATTTATTTATGGACCAAATATTTAGATCTACTGTGAAAATCACAGGACCAAAAGTTCAGGCATACCAGGGGAACAGTAATACTGTTGATAGATAATTGCCTAAGATTCTAAGTCAAAAAAATAATGAATTACAATTTCTATATTCCCCCATAACTTAATGACACAATTTAAAACTTCACGCTCTTTGAAAAATCCGAGACGTTATCTTGAATTGATAAGAACACAGAGACGAACTAGTTTAAGCACCAAAGACAGAATTTGATTAACATAGGACATACATGGGTGCTAACACATTGAGTAGGTATAGAACATATAACACAGTGGGAAAGCCCTTTTTTATCAACACACTCACCCCAATGTTAAGCATTTTTCTCTTCTTGTTACTTTCCTTTACAAGCAACTTAGAGATAAAATCGTACTGAATACCTTCTTTCCTTCCACAGTGTCCATATTTGATGGGACACTTCCAAAGAGTATTTTCCTATCACAAACGAATTAAAAAGGTCAAAGATATCTCTAGACAAGTTGCAGTTCTCAGTGCAATTTGGCTTTTGGAAAGAGAAATGCCAAAGTACAAGGCCATTATGTATGAGAGAGTCATGAAATGCAATACTTTTCGCCATATATTGCAGAAGAGAGAGAGAGAGTAAAAAATGAGGCGACGAAATACAATCTTTTAGTGTGAGTAGCGTGTAGACAAAATCAGACAACCTCACTGTCACTTTAAAGTATCAAATGGGTGTCAAACTATTTTCCAATAGTAGTAAAAATTCAGGCATGGTCTAATGTTCTAATTTACCTTTAGCCGTCAGAAATATGAAAATAGATATTCTGAGATGCTTTCAAGATCACCTGCCAAAAGATATGCTGCCCTTAATGGTCGTTATCTGAATGCAAGGGCTCCTGCGGAGTTATAGAACATTCATCAGATGGGGTAAAAGAGTAAAGAATATTTTACTAAGACTTCTCCCACAACTTCCATGCTCTTAGCAAACCAGGGAAGAGGGGATCTCATTTAACATTTAACATTTTGTCATGCATAATATTAACACAAATGTGAAAAACGTAGAAAAGGATTCAAATAACTAAGTAGGTCATTAAAGCTTTAATATTTCTAAAAAGATGTAACAAAATCTGAGGGAAACAGCACACTTATACAATAAATAATAAAAACACAACTCAAATGTTTGACCACAGGGTCCAACTCTTCAGGAAACAAATAAAAAAAGAATAAAAAAATATTAGCTGCACATTCTGTTTTAACAGAAGCCGAATCAAATGGTAATCAACACTGATCATTGTTGCAATGTTCAATATTAAAAACATTCTATCTTCACACAGCATAAGAGTGGCAGAAAATACATTCTAGTAACAAAATTTACTCAAAAGTTTACAAAAAAAATACTTATTCTGTGACGAAAGCAGAGGTGAGAAGAAAACACAGGCAGACCTCCCAGCGACAAGGATGTGGTTTCTTAATTAAGTCTATTAGAAAAAGAAACTCTGACTTAGTGGGTATGACTTTTTTAGCAAATCTTATGAGACATATTTTTCTCTCCTCAGTCGATTGAGGTGCAAAAGAAATAGCAAATAAAATCAAACATCCAAAAAAATTTCATTACCAAAAGTTACATAATATAAATGGAATCATCACACTGGAATATAATATTTAAGAACAATTTCAAGAAGTCTTATTTAAAAGAGTTAAATATATAGTGCTAACGTTAAATAAGTTACCCAAGGCTACAAAATAATCACGTGTAGATTTTTGTATTAAATACGGCTATCACATTACAATAAAATGTTTTTGTTTGTTTCTTCTTTTTTTCATTTCCTTGAAAATCATAGTACAATACATGCTATTGTAAAAAAGATAATAATATATTAGGCCAGTCAGTCATCAAGAAAAGCCAACCAACTGCCCTGACACATTTAAACATTGCTAGCACAGTCATTAGACCGGCCCCCGACCTGCATGCCCAAGAGGCATGTAACACAGAAAACCATAAAAACACAAACTCCCCAATACACACACTCAAAAAAATAATCAAAAAACAGTGAAACAAAAACAACCATTCTCTATGAAAGAAGTAAAAACGAAAAAAACAACAAAAAAGAACATGAAGATATTCAGTAAGATCTAATAGTTTATCAAATTTCATTTGTAGAACACACGCAACTAGGACATATGTAAACATCAGTATAAATCTTAAAATCTCACAAAGATCTACATGAGTCAGGAAGGCATTTTAAAAGATCCTTGCTGGCCCTTTTTTTTACTTTTTCTGTTTCTTTTTCCAGAAATTGAAATGCAGAAGACAGACTGCTGATAGACCTCTACTGATGGCACCAAATGACTGAAAGATAATATATTACTTTGAAAACCTTGAGCTACCAGAGCTTGGTTGGATGTAACAAAATTACAAAGGCTTTAAACAAACAGTTTAGGTAGGAACAACTCAAAATACATAATTACATGAGGCAGATCACATGAGCCCCACTGATGATGACTAGAAAGCTACCCACCCGCCCAAGGCACAATACTGCATCTTGGGCAAACATATGAAAGAACTAAATTCACTGACAGGCTGAAAAAATGGGCCGACTACACCAAACACTTTGGTTTCTCTGGCACAATGCTCAGAAACTAACACCGAATGCAGGTGATAATGACTACGAAAAATGTTTCTAATTAAAATTTAGATTCTATACATTTACCATTGTTTTCCTACATTTAACATTTATGAAAATGACACATCTATATACACACACTCAAATGGTTTAAAATTGAAATATAAGACAGGTAAAAAAAATGTTTATATGCAGTTATGTATACATGTATATATAATACATAGAAGTCTGCTTGCTTAATGAGCAAACAAAGGTGCCAGAAGTTTCTTGGATCAGTATCAAAGATTTCACTTAGAGTCATCTTTGGTATGGGGAATCACGTGTAATCATTCAAAAGACACGAAAATAAAGTTAAATTGCTATTTAACGTGAGCAGTGCGGATAACAGGCTGGTCCACCCATTAAAGGGACTGCGTAAGTCGCTGGGGATATGCTGACCCAGTGACATACTGCCCCTATCCAGCGCAGTCGAGTCACAAGGATAGCTTGGCTCTGCCTCCACCACACTAGGAGGAGATGCACACTTTCCATCACCATTGGTCTATTACATCAGACACAAAAAGGGAAGGGTAAAAAAAACCTCCCCAAACAAAGAGGAATACAAAAATCTATATGAAAAACACGACAGTAGTAGATCCAAACATTCATAGGCATACATATTATAATAAAATTATGTAAGGGTATCAGTGCAAAAGAGCAAAGTGAATTACATTATAATGTTGCTAGGTATCACACATAAGAAATAATAGCTAAAGTAGTTGTTTGACTTCTACATTGCCTTCTCGAGCCTGTGGCAATAATAAGAATACCCAGGCTGACCAGCTTTTAGATTTGTTTCAAGCCACCAAAAGCATCTGCTCACTACAAACACGTTAGCCATGGGGCTGTAAAATGCTGCCAAACCAACCTTGGTTCCAGCCAAACCACAGTCAAACTGACTCAGAACACTTTGGCTATAAACTAGTATCCGTTTCACGAAAGGGAAATTAAATTCACCAAGTTGGGAGAATATCACATGGACAGAGGCAGAACGGTGTCAAAGTATGACTAACACTCTCAATAAATTTGTTAAAAATTGCAACAAATTAGGCTAAAGCTCGCCTCCATTAACATGATTCTTTCCCCAAAGTTAACAACAAATCCCGTGATAAGACTGGAACCAATGAACACATACGAATTAGTTATGACACAATTAAGTGACAAGAAATTGCCAGCTTATGACTAACTGGTTGGCAGCCAGACAAAGGAGATGACCATACCAATAAACTATAAAATTAGAACAAATTATCAAAAATTCATAAGAGTGGGTCTCTTTTTTTCACTCAATAATAGCAACACTAAACTTGTGGTAAGTTTTTTGTGAATGGGGTAACTACAGGGTGCGTGTGCTTGCATTACATTAGTTTCTCTGCCAATCCTTTGTTACACTTATACACACTAAAATCACCACCAAACAAATTTTAACACAAAACAAAAATTAAGAAAACGAAACATGAAGCAAGACATTAAATGTCACTTGCTTTGCTGAGAAAGCTTCATTATGTACAAAAATGAGACCCAAAAAATAAATATGGAAGATTAAATTCTTTATATGGAACAAATTAATATTTTGAACTAATGGTACTTCTTTCTCTTTCTTTTTTTACAAAAGCCTATGTACACCTAGAGGAAATATAAAAAATTACAAAGATTAATAGGAACTTCCCACTCTTTGGGAGACCTAGATCAAAAAAATTCTTTGGAAAAAGGATTTGGCGAAAACAATTTGCATAGGAAATTGTGCTATACTCAGTTCATATGCACAAATACTGTCCTATTTCCAAAGGAAACCGAAGACGGACTTAAACAAAATCTGCCTTAGGAGAGGCACAAAGGAAGGTAAACTAGACAGGGAAATTGTACTGGATGTACTTGGGCAGCAAGAATACTTCATTCCTTCCAATCATATAAAAAAGTAGATCAAACTATTCAATTAATATTTACATATACCCTGAGGAATTCATAAAAAAAAAAAAAAAATTTGAAAAAAGTATTGGCAGAGATGCTAAGAATTTGCACTATGAGATGGCAATTGTAATATGCACTTGTACAAAAAGAGCGAAAGGGGGAGAAACACCGAACAAGCACACGCTGACTAACAATATAAAAATGACTAAGAGCACTCAATCGTAGCCATGCCAGAGCATTAATTTAAGAGCTCGAAGGGGCTCTGAACTATCACACAGGCACACGTATGTGCACACAAACAGCTATGCTGCAAAGCGAACTGCTCCTCCACTCGAGGAGGGAGCAGCCTCACACTCTACTGATGCTAATCATTGCCTACTTTTGCGTCTTACTTATTTTTTTTTTAGTAGATGCATATGCTCCAACAGTCCAGTGTCACGTACATTGCGAATATAAATTTGCTACATTCACACTGGTGAAGTAATCCACTGGACTGGCGATCCAAACACATATCTGTATGCTGATATATCTATATATATATAACATGTATATATGGGTCAACAAAGGATGCTAGAGTACTTTGAATTAACAAACGGTCCTACAAATTGTCTAGAAAAGTGAGGCGCTGGCTCCTTGCTGGGTAGCAAGCGTAGCAAGCCCCCATTGGCTAACATTAACACCAGCGGAAGGGCACTGCTCGGGGCCGGTCGGCGCCTTCCTTCACCAAGGGCTTGTGGAACTCCCTGCCGGGCCGCGAGTGGATGGTCGCCCAACAGTGCTCGCAGTAATACTGCAATCAGAAACCAGAGTGCCCGACATTAGACCCCAGCCCTCCACAGTTATAGAGAAAATATAAATGAAGAAACAACATTCAGCTTTACTGAAATTGCAAACATTTGTGGGTATCGCGTCAGATGGCCCAACTGACCTGAAGGCAGGTAACGTTGGCGCAGAAGAAGGGCGCGAACTTGCCGCCGCACCGCTGGCCCTGGCACTCGTCGCACATCTGGTCGTCCAGGACGTACGGCTTCACCTCGACCCGCTTGTCGATGTCGCCGTGCTGCAGCTGCACGAAGCGCGCGCTGATGGCCGCGATGTAGCTCTGCTGGTTGCTGAACGCCACGCGCCCCGCGCCCTTGGGGTACTTGAGCTCGGGGTCCGTGTCGATGCCCGCGTAGCACACGCCGCCGTACAGCCTGTCCATGATCATGGCCAGCTCCACTGCAAACAGACAGACAAGTTAGAACACACGGTAAAAAATTTCGTTTCGGCCGCCTCCACCGGCCTTCTGGCGCACTGTGCGACGGCCTGGAGGCGAGCCTGGAGGCCCTACCTGCTTTGAGGGGCCGCGGCACGCCACCGACGAACACCGTCTTCCGGGGGTCGAGGGGCATGGAGGCGTCCAGCACGAAGTCGGCGTCCGACAGCCGCCACGGCCGGATCTGCACGGGCTTGTCCTTGATGGTGGGCGACGACACGCACAGGTACAGCTTCTCGTCGTCCACGATGCAGGCCTCGATCAGCTGCTGCACCGAGCTCTCGTCCTGCAGCACAAGAAATGACGTCAGACGCGCTCGAGCGGTTGGCGACACTGGTAAAACAACGCCCTGAAGGGCATGACACACGTCCTTTACGGGCGTGATGATCAGGCAACCCCGTAAAACAGAGACACTCCGAGACTCACCTGGAAGAGCAGGAAGGCGTATCCCTTGGGCGGGAAGTAGGACTTGCTCTCGGCCTTGTGCGGCCAGTCCACGACGAGCGGCCCGAACCGTCGAAAGCTGGCGGTGATTTCGTCTGCAGCACCAAGAGAACAAGGACATGATGCAGACCGTGCTCCAGACCGGCCGCCGCACAGTGGGCCAGAAGCCCTGCGCAAGCGGCCAAAAATCTAGACGCGTTTTGAGCTCCAGAGTCGCTACATGGGACTCGAACAGAACGTAGGACTCCATCAATGGATTGCTCTCCGAACGAGGAATCCACCGGTGGAGTCGCAAGTTCAATTCAAGTCCTGTTCAGCGACTCTGGAGCTCAAAACGCGTCTAGAGTCTTGATCGCCTGGACAGCACTCCGTCATTACTCACCCTCGTCGATGTCCGGCGGCAGGCCTCCGACGAACACTTTCCTGGAGAACCTCTCGCCGGCCTCGGAGCCCGCCACGGACGGCGACGCTCTGGACGGCGAGGGCATGCTCTGCGGCTGCGGCAGGCCGGGCGTCTCCGACAGCATGGCCACGGGCTCCTCCAGCAGCGTGTTGGGGTCCTCCACGTAGTACTTGCCTGCGGGAACAGGAACGACGAGGTTGACGTCAAGGGTTGCTCCGGGGAAGCGTCACCGCACCGTAAGGGGCCACGCCGCCCGGCGGGTAGGCAGTCCCGGACGCAGCCGTGCCTGACGGGACTGCCTACCCAGTGACCGTAAGGGGCCACGCCGCCTGGCGGGCAGGCAGTCCCGGACGCAGCCGTGCCTGACGGGACTGCCTACCCAGTGACCGTAAGGGGCCACGCCGCCCGGCGGGCAGGCAGTCCCGGACGCGGTCCCGGACGACGTCTCGTTGGGGACAAACCAGCCGCAGCATGCTAGTACCAAACGTCAACCGAAGCCGCCGCAGGGGCTGCAATGTTGCGAGCGTCTGAGAGCGAAACTTGACAAGTTTGTGCGCTCCAGCCCCTCCAGCCTCGCTCCTGCCTGCAGGCTGGCTCCGCCAATAACGCGGACGACAAAGTAAGAGAACACTTGAACCGGTCGCGCCGCGGCTCCCTCTCGAGAATCCTCACACCCACCCTCTCTCTCTCTCTCTCTCTCTCTCTCTCTCTCTCTCTCTCTCTCTCTCTCTCTCTCTCTCTCTCTCTCTCTCTCTCTCTCTCTCTCTCTCTCTGGCGACCGACGCGTCCTTTGTGTGCACGAGCGGCGTCAGGGCGGAGAGAGGGAGAGAGAAAGAGAGAGGGAACAGAGAGGGGGTGGCGCCGGGGAAGGGGAGCGGGAGGGGAAGAAGAGGCAGCCAGGCCCAATTTGCACTTTACGCTCCAAATTCAGCAGCGCTTCAGCGACTGCGTTTCCCGCACGCGACTCGCTCTGTCTGCAAGCAAACTAAACTGGGTGCGACGGACAGGACAGGGGCTGCTGCTGGCCTGCCGACCTGCTGGCCTGCTGGGCTGCTGGGCCGCGGCCCGGAAGCGGGACAGGGGGCAGGCACAGGACTCTCTGGTTTCAAATGGAGGCGCTGGGTCGGGGACGAACTGACGAACCGACCGCCGGGCTTTTGGACCGCCGGGGCTGCTGCCACATTCCGAGAGTCGTTTTCGTCGCTCTGTCTCTCTCGCACCAATCGAGGACGCCCCACGAGTGCGAGAGAGACAGAGCGACGGAAACGACTCTCGGAATCAGTCCAGTCTATGCAGCGGCGACAGACAGCTTTGTCACCCGAGTCGCTGGAAAGCCCACCCTTCACCAGGCTGCGCGAGGCTGCGGGGGCGGTGTGGTGGTCGGCGCCCACCCCACTCGCGACCCGCCCCGCCCCGCCCCGCCCCGCCCCGCCCCGCCCCGTTCCGCCCCGTCCTCGGGATGTTACAGCAGAGTGGAGACCAGTTCGGCTGGCAACAACCGACCGGGGGGAACCGCGGGGACTTTGGCGGAATACGGCTTGATTTTGGGAGCCAGAAGCCGCAACTGCGGGGCCGCGGTGGCGAGGCGGGACTCGCAAGAGTTACACCAAAGTTGGGCCGCGCCGCACGCGGCGTGTCTTGATGCTATAAAGTTCCATTTCTCCTTGTTTGTTATCTGACGGATAACGGACGGTGCCCCCCCCTTCTCTCTGACTGAAACCGAGATGTCGCCAGGCGGGGAATACGCAGTTTCCATCGAGATTTCGACGAAGGTAGCTACGAAAACCTCCCGGGGCCCTTCGATACAATATTTGACATAGTAGTGACAAATTTTGAAACTTTAAAGAATTTTGGCAGAGATTTGAAATTTTCAAAATGTGACTGGGTTGCGTTATTTTTATCGCAAGACTATCGGCCTTTCCACGGCGACTAACATAGTCGTGAAGAATAGTGAAGTGTACAGGTCGGACACACTTCTTGAAGCGTACAAGAGCTCCCTGTCTTCTCGTCCAAGAGCAAAAAAGGGGGAGGGGGACATTGATTGTCTTGAAGCGTCTTGAAGAGCGTAAAACTTCATTTTAGTGTCACCAGTGTCTTGAAGCGTAGCTGCACGCTTGAATGAAAACCGCGCTTTGGTTTTACCAGTGTACGTTCGGAGTACGGCCAAGCGTGCGTGCTCACCATTTAATCCCGCAGCGATCTGCGGCGCCGTCCAGTCACCTGCAAAAACAAAAGGCCGAAGTCAGTTTCCTTGGTCAAGCGCATGAGTTCGAGAGAGAGACAGAGCGACGAAAACGATTCTCGCAATCAGTCTGCTGGGGGCCGCCACAAAAGCTCGACCTAGAGCGACGAGGTGAGTCGATAAACCCATTCAAGGGCACCTAGATCGACATTGCTTCCCTAGAGATGACGACTGAGCAGCCGCGGGACGTGTAGTTTGAATTCGAACCACCAGTTGCATGATCCGATTCGATCAAGCTCGAGCAGCCAATTCGAACGAGCTTCGCTTTGCGAGTTGCGAGTCCAAAGAGTCTCTGTACAGTCCACTCGACCCCACTTGAATCCCTCTCGAATTATTCCCCCCCATTTGTTATGGTTTTTTAGACGTGTTTTTACAGTGGCCCTTGCGGGCCGACCGCAGACCGCTTTGGGGCGTCATGCTGCGCTCTGCTTTGCACGTCCCCGTCGGCCCGCCCGGCGCCCGGCCCGGCGTGCTCGGCTCGCTCCTCTTGCGGCTCGTGGCGGCCCGGCGCCGGCTCGCCGCCACCGCCAGCCGCTGGCCCGGCTGGGCTCTGGCCGCGCCGCTTGGCTCGGCACGCGCCGGCTCGGCTCCTGACAGCGCCGGCACGAGGCTGCACGAGGCATCGCGGAAGGGGTGGCTGCCGGGCGGGCCGGGCCAGCGGCAACCCCTCGGCCGGCCAGCCAGCCCGCCAGCCCGCCCTAGGACGAGGAGGCAAGGACGAAGCAGTCTGTAGGGCGCCTCCCCCTCCCCTCCCCTCCCCCGGCGGCTCGTGCCCGCCTGGCCCGCCTGGCCCGCCACGTGGAGTGCCGGTCGTTGGCCCCGGCCACCACCCCTAAGGGTCGCACCCTGTCGCACCCTCGCGGTCTGGCAACGCCGCCTCGAGGGTGCGCGGCGGGGAGGGGGAGGGGGAGGGCGGCGCGGTCAGCCCGTAAGGCAGCAGCGTGCACTTCGCGCAGCGGTGCAGCGCGGCGCCTGGCGCATCGGCATGCACCCGCTGCACTCGCTGCACTCGCTGCACTCGCTGCACCCGCTGCACTCGCTGCACTCGCTGCACTCGCTGCACTCGCCGACCAAGACAGCGACACTGCCGCCGCCGGGAGGCTTTCTAAGAGTTCGAGGCGCGCAGACGGGCAGCAGACTGACTCCGAGACTTCCGTCGCTCTGTCTCTCTCGAACCCACACGGGACGCGCCGCGAGTGCGAGAGAGGCAGAGCGACCGCGAAAGCGACTCTCGGAATGAGTCTGCACGCCCCGGGGCCAGACGGCCAGCTGTCAGCCTCCGCATACTTCCTCCTCGGTGGCAGGACCAGCCCAGCCGCTTCACTGTGAAGGATCGTCCCGCCGCTCTGTCTCCCTCGCTCCGGGCCGGGACGCCCCATGAGTGCGACAGAGACGCCGGAAGCAGGCGGCGGCAAGGGCCTAAGGGCCGTAGGGTGGTCCACAAAGAGCCGTGGCGGGGCGCGGGGCGCGGCCGCCGGTCGAAACGGACCGGCGGCGTTTCGCCCGGAAATGGCCACGACGGGGAGGTGAGGGGGAAGGGGAGGGGGGACGCGCGTGGAAACGAAGGCTCTGTCCCGGCGGCGTCAATAATCCAATTGGCGGCCACGGAATCAGGTTCCATTCCAGCGAGCTTCGGGACTGTCTGGTCTGGAACGGTAGCGGCAGAGTCGGCAGAGGTCGGCCACTGGCTGCGAGGCGGGTAAGAAGAGACGGCATCCACCACGGCCTCTACCACGGCCTCCACCAGGGCCTCCACTCCACTACGGCCTCCACCACGGTCTCCATCACGGCCACCACCACGGCCTCCAGCGCGCCGCGCTGCCGAGCCCCATTCATCTCCCTGCGCTTCCTCTTCGCACAGCCTCCTCCCTCCACTCTAGATCCGGCCTCCACCCCTTCAGGGGCTGAGTGGTGGGCGTCGCGCGCGTCGTCGCGGCCAAGGGGTGACAGACGAGGTGGAGCGCGGGGGTGGAGAACGGGAGTGGAGACGAGGCCGTGGACGGAGGCCGTAGACCAGCGGTTCCCAACCTTGGGGTCGCGACCCCGAATGGGGTCGCGAAAAAATTTCGAAGGGTCGCGGCGAGGTGGTTGGGGTCGCCTGGGGTCGCGACTGTTTCCCGGCTGGCAGAATTGTTCAAAACGGTCGAAAATGCCTTTGAAAACTCGTGTTTTGGGCCGACTTTAAGCAGCAACTGCGTCTGATCCGAGGCGGGCATTTTGCTCCCTCAACGGGCAGTTGGTCTTTGGACCTTCCTTTAGCATGCCTTTGTTACGGAGTGCAATTATCAGTCTTAGTTTGGGAGCAGTATTGTCTCAAAGTTGGCCGAAACGCTCAGAAATGTCTATGAAAAATCGTGTTTTGGGCCGATTTTAAGCAGCCACTGCGTCTGATCCGAGGCGGGCATTTTGCTCCCTCAACAGGCATTTGGTCTTTGGACCTTCCTTTAGAATGCCTTTGTTACGGAGTGCGATTATCGGCCTTAGTTTGGGAGCAGTATTGTCTCAAAGTTGATGAAAACAGTATAAAATGCCTTTGAATGCCATTTTGATCCACTTTGAGACAATACTGCTCCCAAACTAAGGCCGATAATCGCACTCCGTAACAAAGGCATGCTAAAGGAAGGTCCAAAGACCAAATGCCCGTTGAGGGAGGACGAGATACCGCCTCGGATCAGACGCAGTGGCTGCTTAAAGTCGGCCCAAAACACGACTTTTCAAAGACATTTGTGGCCGTTTTGATCTACTTTGCGGCAATACTGCTCCCAAACTAAGGTGGATTATCGCACTTTGTATCAAAGGCATGCTAAAGGAGGGGTCGCGTGGGGTCGCGAAATTTTTCCTGGGGGTCGCGGAAATTTTTTGTATCAAATTTGGGGTCGCGAACCGAAAAAGGTTGGGAACCGCTGCCGTAGACGAAGGCGTGGAGACTCGGAGAGGCGATCGCGAACGCCGCGAAACCGAGGCCGTGGGAGACAGGAGGAGGCGGGCGGCTCAAACGCGCCCAAACAATCGGCGGCGTTGCCAAATGGCTGCAACGCCAACGCCCCAATCGGTGCACTTGTTACAGCGGCGCTGTGCCCGTCGCCCCGGTCGGCCCTTCGCGCGTGCTGGCTGGGGGCGGGGGTGGCGGCGCGGGGGTGGCGCTGCGGGGGCGGCGCGGGGGCGGGGTGGCCGCGGGGGTGCCGGAAGTTCCGAAGCGACGTTGCCAGCGTTGGCGGCCGGGCTGGGCCGGGCGGCCTGACGGGTCGACGGCCCGGCTCAGCCACACTGGGCCACACGGGGATGATCCAGGGCCGGAGAATACCGGATTTCGGAGCCAGCGCGGCCCACGCCAGCGCCGCGCCCCCATCCGGGATTTTTCAACGCTGGTAACGCGTGTAACGTACACGCGTAGACGAAACTTCCCCATGCATTCAGACCAGAAATTTCTAAATTTCTTAACTAAGACCTCTGAGTTCTTCCTCGACCAGTTCTTTGAAGTAAAAATGAAAATCTGAGTATGAAATCCCTGAACCGATGTCGAGATGTAAACAGTAGACCACAGGAGGGTGTAGTACTTCTCTTACCCTGTACTTTTCTACCTAAAATCTAGAGAAACTGAAACGGTGCCAGGCCAGGGCGCTCCGACAGTTTCTCCTGACATTTCGCTCCGACTTGGCACCGCAAGCTTTCCTCTTCGACCTTTGCGACTGCGGCTGCGTGTATATTTTGCCTACCTACAGGGGCATGTGATGCTGGTTGCCTATTATATGAGGCGTTTAGGGAATCTCACAGGGGGGGCAATCGCCCCTTCGCCCCCCCCCCCAAACCAAGAGTCCCTCTGCGAGCGACACTCACCAACATTGTGTAACTGGGCGAGGGACTGGAGTGTGTTGGGACTGCAATTTAAGAATCCTGGAACAGAAACAAGACGCGCACATTAGCCAGGGCACAGCGTATGGGGCCGTGTGACACTGCCCTCCATCCGAGTCGACGCGGCTCCGCCGAGGCTCCGCCAGGACTCCGCCAAGACCCTCATCATTCAATCTTCCAGGCGACTTCCTGCATGAGTTTCCACGGGGCACGGCCGCGGCGGCGAGGCGAGGCGAGGCAGCACGCGGGCCTTGACTTTGAAACGAGACCGACACACCAGCAGACCGGCGGCGCGGCGCGGCTCGGGTTAAACTAACCGGCACAATGGCTGCGCGTTCTCCCCGTTTTACTCCAATTTGGTTTTTGCAGTGCACACCCGCGCGGACCACCCAGCAAGAATGTGGCGGCGAGGCTTCGCGTGGCGGTTCGAATCATTACCGCCGCGAGCGAGTGACGCGTGGCCGGCCAAGCGCAAGCAGCAGATTCGCTGGCAGACACAGGCGGTATGCAGGCGACCTCGCACTCATGGGGCGCCCCGTACAGGTGCGAGAGAGACAGAGCGAGACTCTCGGGACCAGCGTGCAGGCGGCGCGGCAGCGGGCCGTGCCTGCCGTGCCTGTGCCCTCCCCGGCGCTACAAAATTAGACCAACAACATTACGGACAACCTCAGGAGGCTCCTCTGCTCCTCGGGCGACGGCGCGACCCATCCCCATGCCCGCCACCACCTCCGCTCGCTCCATGGCGGGGCTTGGCGGGGCCTTGGCGGGGCCTTGGCAGGAAGTCCCCGGCACAGCGCAGCCTGCCCGTCAGCCTCAACCCCACAGAAATAAACGTCCGTCCGGCTGCAGCGCGCCCGCAACTCCACCATTGTCACCGGTTTGAGTGTCTTCTCAGTGTGTTGGTGTGGGTGGGTGTCCGCTGTGCGCGCGTGCCTCGTAAACGCCGTTACGAGTGGCACGCGGAGGAAGAGCCACCAGAAATTGACTTCTAAAATAAAGTCACGGTCGTTTAGAAGGTAAAATCCGGGACTGGGGGACTGGATATCGAGTTAACGGGGCCTTCCATGCCGCTCCACTGTGCAACTCCACTCCTCCTCCTCCTCCGAAACTCTCCCACTGCAATTAGCAAGGCGCCGATACGCAATAACACACACAGGCATGCACACGCACGCACGCACACACACCACACACTCGCACACCGTCGCGGAAGCCCCTGGAGCGGCGCTTGAGACTAGCTGCCTGGACGCCCCTCCCCGGGCCTTGCCGGATTCGATCGGATGCCACCGGAAATGACGGCACAACCCCCTGGCAGCCCGGAGCGCGGATAGCGCCCCGGGTGCTCTCTCCTTGTTATTGTTTTCCAGGGAGGGCAAACAAAAACGCAAACAAAAACAACAAAAAGGCGAGGATGCGGGTCCGCTGCCTCGGCTGCCACCGGCAGCGTGCGCCCCAGCACACTGAGAGTCGTTCTCGTCGCTCCGTCTCTCTCGCACCTGTACGGGACGCCTCGTGAGTGCGAGAGAGACAGAGCGACGAAAGCGACACTCGGAATCAGGTCTGGTGCGCCGGGCCGCCGAGGGAACGTCGACGGCAAGGGTCACTCGGCGTCCGCGTCCTCACCGGTCTGAATAGCGCGAATAGCGGCGCGGGTACTGGGGGGGGGGGGCAGCCAGACTACGATCAAGCACCGGGCGTGCTTGCGGCCAAGATAAAAATACGCCCCGACGCGCTCCCCTGGGGTCGTGGCGCGGAGTAGCGGCAAGAAGGGCATAAGGCAGCATGTGTGCCCACGCCGCGCCACGCCACGGACGCACATGCTAGCGACGCAGGCTACGCACCTTGGACGAGAGGCTTTATTCTTACCCTACGCGTGCGTGTGAGTGAGCGCTCTAGTGTGTGTGTGTGTGTGTGTGTGTGTATGTGTGTGTGCGCGTAGCGTCCGAAGAGGGGCCGAGCGCAGCCTGCCCCGGCCTCGGCCCGGCCTGCCCCAGGCTGCAAGGCAAGGGAAGGGGTTTCACAAAAGATTCAACATAAGAGCCTTATTCCGAGGTCTCGTCTCCTCCGGCCCGTTTGTGTGGCGTCGTCGTCGCCTGGCGTCGCGTCGCGGGGCGGGGCGGGGCGGGGCGGGGCGGGGCGGGGGCGGCCAAGCCTGGTCGGACGTCGCCAAGAGCGTGCCATGGGAGGGGGGGGGGCGTCGTCGGGGAGAGGAGAGGTCAGTGCCGGCAGCGGGGCACGTCCCTAAGGGACGCGCGCCTTTCGACCAACATTCCGATAATTAAAAAGAACGCGAACGAACACAGACATTTTCACCATAATATGGAGAATCTTCACTACAACATTTAGAGTGCGGCAGAAAACTTTTCCGGTGTGGGCCAGGGCCAAGTCCAAAGTCATTTGGAAAATCCAGGGAATGTCAAGTCACGTCCGTAACGTGAACCTTGGAGTCGCGTCCGTTTGAGTGTGACGTGTCACTTTCCTGGATTCCTATGGCGGAGTCAGTGACAGGAAAGTTCCCACGTCGCTATCAGAAACAGCCGATGAAGAATCTGCACACAGCGCACGCTTTCCGAAAAACAGAAAAAAAAACCGGACAAATAATTCGTCCACTGTTTTTTCCGCCAAGTGTGCGTATTTTGTGTATTATCTCGCGGGAAGCCGGGACGCCCGAGTGCAACTCGATGATAAGATTGGGAGGAAACTTGGCGATAAAAAGGGGGGCATGGCACAGCCATCGCCACGGCATAGCCATGGCATAGCCAGGGCATAGCCAGCAGGTCAGCGCCGAACGAGATCGACACGACACTGCAGGGAGAAAACGCCAATCGCGGGCACAGTGTGCTGCAGACTGAGATTCGTTGTCGTCGCTCTGTCTCTCTCGCACTCATGGGGCGTCCCGTAGAGGTGCGAGAGAGACAGAGCGAGACTCTCGGCATCAGTCCGCTGTCGCCAAGTCGAGTGCTCTAGGCCGCACGCCAAAAAAACAGGCCACACTTGACTCACGCTGGGCCAAATAGCACTCGGTGGGCGAGCTAGGCCAGCTAGGCCAGCCAGGCACCGTACCAACTGGGGAACTGGGGTAGGGTCGGAGATAAGGCAACCAACCAGGTGAGCTACATGCCGGCAGCATCGCTATGCACTGTAAGAAAAACAAAAACAAAAAAATCTTTTCTTTTTGTCACTGTAAAAAAGACCATTTTTTTCCGTTTTTGAATTTTTACAGTACAGTAGTGGCCGGGGCCATGTGCGGGACATTTGAACGGACGAGACAAGTTTGCCAAGCTACTTGAAGCCCGAAGCCAGTAAGACCAGAGGCCTGTCCAACAATGCTGGCACACACACTGACCACACAAAGTACAAAGTGTTCCGTGCATATAATTATGCAAGCAAAAAGCTCGTGCTCTAGGCGCTCCGCCCGAGCGCGGCAAGGCGGCAGCGCGTCGTGTACGATTCCGTCCGTAATTTATGTACATTCTCTGACGTAACGTTGCACAATGAGTCAGTTCGCATTACTCTCCTTGTAAAACGCAACGCCGAACCGCGTTGGTGAAGGTTGGGCGCCCATGCGCGAAAATTAAAATTCCGCAGACAGACCTTCTTTTTTCTTAGAGTGTAGTACACACACACCCTTTCCTATGAGCTCGGGCGAGAGCATAGGATGCCTTGCAAAAGTTGACGCAGCGCTGTGTGTGTGTGTGTGTGTGTGGTGCACGTGTGTGTGTGTGTGAGGGTGTTTGCATGTGTGTGCGTGAGAAAAGTTAGCGCGCGCCACGCTTATAAATGAGGCGGAGATGAGGGGTCGAAGCAATTTGCGTTAGCGGCAGGAGACTTCATCCAGGACCAATTTACGTGCTTTTGCTTATCAACGACGGTTTCTCCGCCGTCAACTTTTTCCGCAGCGCTCCTTCTCCATCTCCTTCATGAAGTTCCCAACAAACTTCCACCGTGCACCACGACCACCACGACCACCACGACGACCAACACCACCACCAACCACGACCACCACGACGACGAAGAGCTTGAAGAGCAATCCATTGGTGGGGTCACACGTTCGGTTCGAGTCCCATTTAGCGACTCTGGAGCTCTGCGCGCGTCTAGAGTTTTGGCCGCCTCCACCGGTCTTCTGGCCCACTGTGCGCCGCCGAGGCCCCGCCAGCCTCCCTGCCTCCGCCGAGGCCGCCAAGGCCCCCACCATCCATATGCATCAGCCACGGCCTCGGCGCCGCGGCGGCCCGCGCCACTCAGGTACGCCGCGGCGCCGTGGTCAAGTCATACGCGGCAATAGGCAATCGCTTCGAGAGGAGCCGCGCGAAAAAATGAAACGAGAAACGAGAAAAAAGCAAGGCGAGGAGACGAGAGGACGCGGCGGGGTCGATTGTTAAAAGTAACTGTCGTCGCTTCGAACTGCTTCGAGTCGTTCGAGTGCTTCCTGAGGCACTTCATCTCCAAAGCGGCGCGCGTCCGTTCCCGGTCACGTTGACATGGAGAGCTTGCTGGCTGTCTGGCGTCCCATGGCTCGGCCCATGGCTCGGCCCATGGCTCGGCCCATGATGTAGGTCGCATTGCCGGCTGCATAGACTAGTCTCATTAATATACTCATGGCAGTCGGACGGACTGACGGAGCACTGTGAGGACACGCCATGACCGACAAGTGACAAGAAAACACGAAAAGTCCTGGACGAAACAGTGGCGGATCCAGAATCCAGAGGCGGCCCGGGGGGGGGGGGGCAAAACCCCCATTGCCCCCCCCTCGGGACCCGCCACTGGGTCGGAGGGCCTCGCCGTCTAGTGTCAATGGGCCTCGGCGAGCCGATCGAGGACAGGTGACCCGAAAGGCAGAAAAAGAGAGAGACAGGGACCTGCCGGTACCTGTGATACCACAGCGACGCGGTGGGATGACTAGAGGGTGCAAGCGAGACGGCGGCGGGAGGGCCTAGTGAAACAGAGTGAAACAGCCTGGCCTTGGCTGGCACGGCACGGCACGGCACGGCACGCCGCGCGCAGACAGGGCCCCGCCGCCATGCCGCGGCTCGCAGTTGTTGTGT